AAGGTCTTTTCAATTTTTATCTATATTGGTTTGATCTTTATATCAAAACCTTACAAAAATAATGATTTTTAAACCAACATAGAAATATGTCCCACTAGGTTAGCATGGGAAACAGATACACAGTTTAAAAAAGATGATCTACAAAATAATATTAGCATTGGAATTTTAATGATCTTGTTTTGGGATTTTTTTGAAATTATGGAAATAAGTATATGGGTTATTTTCTAAAAGTGTAAGTCAAAGCCAAAAGGAGAAACAAATTAGAGAAAGTGACTGACCATCCACACCACATGCAAACTGGAAGAAAAGTTAAGATTGGATCTGATATCATGGACCTGGCATGACTCCTTCTACACAAAACTTGATCCTAATAACATTGGACAAAGTAGCAAGTACAGGAAAGGGAAAGAAAACATAGAAAAGAGACAGACAGGATGAGATTTCATGTAATCTGCTGGCAATTTGCAGTTAAAGTGAGAAGCCATCTAGTGCAGGGACATTGAAAGTAAGCATTATCAAAGCACACTACTATTGAAGTATCACAACACATGGTTAACACCCAGACAAAGTAGATGATACTTTCAGATTGTTTGGAAGAGTCCAACATCTTCAGAGCCTTGATCAAAAGATAGTGTCTTATGATGAGAATATTTGAGACAGTGTTTTTGTATCATCTTGTAAATTCATCTTTGTGACTTTGATCTGTGTTTGTACTATTAAAAGTTGATGACAGGTGGTTAAGTGAAGTTTCTGAATGATTGATACTACACTGAGGCCCTTAGGTAGTTCTTTGAGGAACATGAGCAAGCCTCTATAAAACCTGAGCCACAGAAAATATGGTAGACATAATGGCTGGAGTTCTCTTATCTGTGTGTTCCACAAGTCTTATTTGGTAAATTTGGAAAAAAATAATTTAATTTTAATTTTGAATCAGTTTTCAAGACAATATATCAATTATTCTTAAAGAGATCTGGGAGATTATTCCATTTTCTGATATCTTCAAAGGGAACAACACTCTTCTACTGATGGTGGGAGTGCAAACTTATACAGCCATTTTGGAAATCAATATGGCATTTTCTCAGAAAATTGGGAATCAAATCTACCTCAGGATCCAGCATTACCATTTTTGGGCGTATACCCAAAGAATGCTCAATAATCCCACAAGGACACTTGGTCAAATATGTTCATAGTAGCATTATTTGTAATAGACAGAACCTGGAAACAACCAAGATGCCTCTCAACTGAAGAATGGATAAAGAAAATGTGGTACATTTACACAATGGAGTGTTACTTAGCTGTAAGAAATAATGACATCATGAAATTTGCAGGCAAATGGATGGAACTAGAAAAAAATCATCCTGAGTAGGGTAACCCAGACCTAGAAAGACAAACATGGCATGCACTTACTCATAAATGGATACTAGGTGTAAAGTAAAGGATAACCAGACTACAATCCACAGCTCCTTAGAAGCTAGATAACAAGGAGAACCCTAAGAACACATGGATTGCCATTGGAAGGGGAAACAGATGAGATCTCCTGGGTAAACTAGGGATATGGGGGGGGGCAATAAAGGGGAGGGAACAGAGGATAAGAACATGATGGGGATGGAATGGTTGAGTTGGGGGAGGAATGGGGTGGGAGAGCAAGGAAAGAAATATCTTGATACAGGGAGTCATTAAAGGGCTAGGGAGAAACCTGAAGCTAGGGAAATTCCCAGGAATTCACAAGGATGACCCCAGCTAACACTCCTAGCAATAGTGGAGAGGTGTCTAAACTGGCCTTTCCCTGTAACAGAATTGGTGACCACCCTAATTGTCATCAGAGAATCTTCATTCAGTAATTGATATAAGCAAATGCACACCCAAGCACCAGGCTGAGCTACCGAAGTCCAGTTGAAGAGAGCAAAGGAGTTCAAGTTCATGACAGGGAATCCTACAGAGACAGTTGACCGAAACTTTCGGGAGCTCACGCACTCTAGACTGACAGCTGGGGAGTCTTCATGGTACCAAACTAGGCCCTTTGCATATTGGAAACAGTTTTGAAGCCTGGTCTGTGGAAGCCCTGGCAATGGGACCAGGGGCTATCTCTAGTACATGAACTGACTGACTGAAGACTATTCCATATGGTGGGATGCCTTGCTCAACCTTGATATGGTTGGGAGGGGTATCTTTGTCCTGCCTCAACTGAATGTTCTAGGCTTTGTTGACTCTCCATGAGAAGCTTTACCCTTTCTGAGGAGTGGATGGGCATGGGTTGGGGAAGGTAGAGAGCAGGAGAAGGAGGAGGAGAAGAAGAGGGAGAACTGTGCTAGGTATGTAAAACAAATAAGCAAATTAAAATAAAATATAAAAACAAAACAACAACAACAAAAGAGATCTGGCTGCTACATCCTGCATTTTTAGATCTATCCCCACTAATAATTTTATTTGTTTGTTTGTTTATTTATTCAATTTAGTATGTGAATGTGCCAGTGAATGCGACAAGGAGGTCAGAGCAGAACACCCTCTGTCTTTCTCTATCCATCTCTGCCTATTTCTTCTATAAAGTGTCTCTCAGTGACCTAGAAGCTCATCATGTTGGCAAGGCTGGCTGGCCAGTGAGTCTGGGGATCTGCCTATCTTTACTTCCTAATGTTGGCATTCCAGTCACCAGAACCAATGTCTGTTTTTATATGTTGGTGCAGGCAATTCAAATGCAGCTCCTCTATTTGTGTTTAATTCACATATCTGTTTGCATAACATATTCCCATGAAAATGTGTTACCATTTCTGAGTCTGATATTGCTGCATTTTAGGTGAAAAACCTGTAAAAATACACATTAACCACTGGATGCTTTTGCAATTCTTTAAAATACCAGTTCACAAGAAGACAATGCTCTGCTTTGTTTGAATACTCTTTGCAGTGTGTTAAACCAGTGAATGAAAAAAGAAACAGAAAAAATTATAGACTTGGGTAGTATTGCATTGAAAATGATCTTTCCATTACTGTCATCTTTGTGAATAAATTTGTTTAATTTTAGAAGCAAAGTCATTATATATAGGTAAATATATATACATATATATATATATATATATGTATATATATATAATTGCTGTAACTGAATTGACTGAGTACAACACAAGATGTCAAAGCACTAGGAAATAGAAAGTTCTAAAATTTAAAGAAAAGTTGTAATTATCAGTAACAATATATATTAGGTATGGATTGTAACATTTTGTGAGTTTAACCCTCTATTTTTCCTAATGTAAAAGGAAAAGAAATTAGTACAATTGCAGGAGTGATAGAATTAAATGTGATATAGTAGAAAGGAGAACAAAATAATTAAAAATAACTCAAGGAGACTGTGCCAACATATACGAGACCTGCATTGATCTGCACAAGATGGAGTCCTAGGCCTAAAGGACAAGTGGACACATGCCCCTATCCCTAATTCCTACCTCCAATAGACAGACACCTGCAAATCAAAATCAGTTTTCTTCAATGGAGTCCCACTGTGGAAACAAACGACTCTTAAAGGCCTGCTCCTTACCCAGCTGTAAATAGCCAACATAAAATGAATGTATGGGCATCTTTGGAGGTTGTTTGTCTTCTAATGTTGTGTCAGGGTTTTTGTTTGCTATTTGTTTTGTTTTTATAACCTTACAGGTCCTTTGTGTATAAATTATGGCTAGTGGCTTTGTGTTTTTATGGGATTCCTCTGTGTATAAAAGTGTGTCTACATGCATATTTTGTACTTTTTCTTTGGCCCTTTTTCTTGTTTTTTGTTTCATCCTACTCTAGTTTGCTTGATTTTGTTTTATTTTATTTTATTATTGTTTCTTAGACCTCTTGTTTTCTAATTAAAGACAGAAAGGGCATGTATCTGGCTGGGAGGGAGGTAAGGTGAGGAGGAACTGTAATTTTAGTATCGGGGGAGAGAAAATAGTAATCAGGATATATTGTATGGAAAAAATCTATTTCCAATGAAAGAGAAAAACTGTGTGCTCCAATTCTGTAGTACTCTGTCAATAATGGGTCGGCAAACAACAGCTCTTGTTAGTATGTGTCCTACTAACCCTCATAAACCATGGTTGTGGAGACCTGGTACACCATATTGGGTTTACTATTACTTTGTTCTGCTCGCATCCCATGCTCCACTGTGGTCTTGGGATCTCTTACAGGGAGTCGCTAATCTGGCAGGGCTGTCATGCATCATAGGTTCTATGAAAGAAGTAGCCTAACCTATATCTTCTTTTTTTGAGATGAATCAGTTGCTTTTTCCTAAATGCTTTACTTAACAATTAATAAGTATCCATTATATAAATATGGCTTAAGAATTACAGTTTGAATGGATGGAGACCTGGCATAGGTGTTGAGGCTGATCTTTCTTCCAGAGGACCTAATTTGATTCCCAGTACTCCTGTAATGGCTGACAACTAGCTGGAACTCTAGTCCCAGGGGCTCTGATGCCCTTTTCTGGCTTCCTTGGGCATGCGGCACAGATTATACATGCAGACAAAACATCCATATACATAAAATAAATTTTCTTTAAAACAACAAAAAAAGGATACAGAAGAAAGCAGAATACAATAATTGGATAATAACTACTTATAACAAGGTTTTTTGGAAGGTGGATAAACACATACTAATTATAATAAAAAGAATACACTTTCAGGATTGGAACATAAATTAAGGGTAGGCAATGTATATCTTGTGATTAGCATTTTCTGAAGGTTATTATTCATTATTATGTCTTTTACACAATTATATAGAATATTAAAAAGTTTATTGATGTGTTGGAAAGTACAGTAGTGAGAAAGACAGAAGAAGCAACTCTGTACTTTATGCTAACCATGAAAATGACTGAAGTGGAAAATTTTTGTTCACTAGCAATTACATCCTGTTAATGAGAAAACCTATGGTAAAGACATAATGATGAGTTAAAAATGAAAATACATCTCTTTAACTCCTTGTGGTAAGTGACAATTACTTCATAATATTTAACAAATTAAAATCCTTACCAGGACATTGTTATCAAAGCAGACATCAGGCCCTTTTCGGTATCTGGGTTGCTTAACCATATCACAAGGATCTGGACCGTCAGCTAAAGAGGCTTGTCAAGGAACAGGGTGGACATAACTTCTTCCCCTTGTGGTTAAAGATGCAATGAGATATATTTATTTCCAAAATCCATCAAGACTGACCTATGCCAATACTCTCAGCCAACAGAACCAATTGAAGTGTTTGGGACTGTGAGAAACTGTGTGTTCAATGTACTTTTTTCCCAGTTCCTGAGTAAATGTGATTAGTTCTGACCTTGCAATTTTTTGGTACTGCATTATTTTTGTTTATAGGAGCATAAATAGGGTGACAAAGTTAAAAACCCACTGCTTTAAGATGAGCTCTTCCAGACATCGCTAATGCCAAAGGATACAAGTCTGCTCTGCTTGCATGAGCAGCCGTGTGTCACAGGGACATGTCACTTTGCTTTCCACCATTATGAATACTAAGTTGGTGTTCATGAGTTTTTCCACATGAAAGATTCTGCAAAACATTTTAGAAAAGATCACTCTGTGAAAATCATCTTTTGGGAAAAAGAATGGAAATCATTACAAGATACTTTCTTAATGGAAAGAAAGATAAAACAATATATTGAAAAACAAAGCATCACCATCCAGGTTAACACACACACACATACACACACACACACACACACACACACACACACACACACACACACACAATACAATGACTGTGACCACGTTTTTAACTTACTAACATGAACACATTACCTCTCTCAAAAATAGTAAAAAATTCAAGGTCATATTGAAAATGTCTTTGATTGAAATCTTTAAAGTTGTTAGTCTTAATTACAAAATAAGTGTAATTTTGTTTATGTCCAAAATCCCCAAAATATTTCATTTTAAATGTTCAGGAAATAGTGATATTTATCATAGGCAATAAACCAACAATACATTATTTTACAAAAAGTCCAAGCAGGAAAAAAAAAACTCAACTAAGCATAGTGTCAAACTGAGGTCAGAATAGAGTGAGGCTCAGTGATCCAGGGCTTTCTTCCAGGGCATAAATGTTTTTTGTTCTATCCAATACTCGAATAGAGGTCTTGGAGCGTGACATAAAAGTTTCATTATTGCATTTAGCTTTAGTTATAATGCAAATAGGTACAGGTAGCTATAAACTGTTAGATTGCAGACACAGATATGGATTCAGGCTTAAAGCACCATTCCCAGTGTCCGATGTCTTGTTTTCCTTTGTAAACAATATATGACCAAGATATTATTTGTTTTTAAAAAGCAGAATTTTACTTGCTTTTCTCTGTGAACAGGTTATATAACATAGAACAATTTCAGTAAGACTGTGCTTTCAAGTGACATGTTAGACCAGTCTCAACCCTTTTAGTTCTTCAGGTACGCATTGCTGCTACTGGATCATGATTAGAGCAAGGCCAAGGTGCTGTATGCATACACCGAGAGCAGCCACTTTAAGACTGCTCTTCTGTTTTCTAAAGTCAAAAGTGATCTTTATCCAGAATTCATGTTTGACTTCTCTCTTTACTTTCCTCGTCATAAACTCTTATATCCTTGAAGAAATAGAAATAGAACCAAGTCATAAAATTACTGACCATCCCTACTGGTTAAGTCCTTGGAGTCAAAATTATTATTATAATTGCTGTAGACTAGCTTTTTCAATCCCCAGCAACTATTCCAATGTTTTCCCCAGGTTACCTTACCTCATCCCATTTATTTTTGCCTGTTAATGTTCTTCTGGAATAACTTGTCCTCCATCTCTAAACATCCCCTCTGCACTTTGTAAACTGTGGCTCAGCGACCCCACAGCCTGGATTAGCACTTTCCTTTCAGACCTTCCAAAGCCCCCATCTTGCTTTTCTCTGCTATCCTATTACAGCCAAGTGTGTTTTCTCTGTATTCCAAAACATTTTAAAGACGTTTTAGGAATGCTAAGATTAACCATGACCTCAGGAGATATTTTCCTCAGAGCCTTCAATTTCAAATCAAAGTTAATATTCAATTCTTCATGTCAGTGAAGGGTAGAAGTAGACAGAGAACACAACTTTTTACAACCCTTCTTTTTTTTCTTTCATTTTTTTGTTTTTGTTTTTTGAGACAGGGTTTTCCTGTGGCTTCGGAGTCTGTCCTGGAACTAGCTCTTGTAGACTACGCTGGCCTTGAACTCACAGAGATCTGCCTGATTCTGCCTCCTGAGTACTGGGATTAAAGGCATGTGCCACCAATGCTCAGCTTTTACAACCCTTCTTATTTATCATATATGAAAAGAAGTCAACTTGGTTGAAATTATCATCACTAACTTTGTTACAAAGTTTTCAATATTGACCTTGTTTATGAAAAAATGCATTGAAAATTCTCCATTCTTTAAAAAATCAGAAGCCTTTATCTTTATCATGTAATGTTACCTAAAACAATTATAATTTATCGAGACTTTGAGATCTATAACAAAACCAAGTATATCTCACATTTTCAGCTTAACATAATGACTTCTCTCTTACTCCACTGAGAACTTCTGTTATTTTTTTGTGACTATGACAGGCCCGAATGCTGCCCTTAGGAAACAAGGATCACTCCACACAAAGGAACAGAGTACCTGGAACAGTTCCCACAGTCCAGGACACCACTGAATGATTTACTGTCATTATCGAAGAAGTACTGGGTTTGTTCCGTGATGCAGCTCTGCTTTGACAGGGAGGTGGTGAAGTCATCCTCCTCCATCTCAACTGTGGGAGGCAAAACAAAGGTCATCACCAGGGGAGAAGCCACATGTCTCAGAATCACTGTTCACAGACACAATAATGACAAATTATAGGTTGCTTTACTGTTGAGTAATTGCCTGAAAGTTATTAAAAGGTCCCTGGTAAGTTTCTAAATAATACCTTAATATTTAAGCTACAAATGCAATCTATAAAATTTTATAAAAATATTGGGGAATAAAGTTTCAGTTTGATGATCTCTTTCTTTTGCTGACACACATACATAGACACACATGTGTATGCAAACATATATACATACTCACACATATATACTCAGATGTATACATACATACATATACATACACGCATGCACACACACACACATGGACATTCTCCTTATGTGTTTACTATACTAACTTGGCACAATCCAAAAGAAAAATGGACTTCTGTGACAATGACCACATCAGTGCATTGACATACCTGCCTCAAGGATCCGTGGAAATGTCAAACTCAAGAGCAACTGCTGGAGAATAGACCTGCAGTTTTAAAATGAGCAATTGAGAAACATCTAGAAATTATCCTTTACAATGTTTCACATGAAAACTGAGAAGTTTTGTAAGCACAAACACATGTATACTTCATTTTCATCATTGTGAGGAAAATGTAGTTTAAAAGAAATTTTAAGACGTTTTATTGTATTTCTTAAATTGTGAAAAATGTCCCACCTTTGATTCTCATCAGCAAAAGATTCATGAAGTCAAAGGTGTTTGGGACCAAATGAGGATATACATGAGTGTGGGAGCCTGTTACACAAGTGAAGAAGCCTACCTCCTAAGTGCAGGAGCCTACTAAGTCATATTACCGGATAGTAGGGCTAACTCTATGAGGGAGAATATCAACATTTGTTGCATGAATTATTATATCATGAATCTTCTTTTTATTTTAGTTATTAGTAACTAAAATAAATTAAATAAACAAAATGATAAATAAATAAATCAAATTAAAACCCCATAGTGCAATAAAGACATACAAAGGAAAAACCACTATCTGAACTTTAGGTTTGAGATTAATTTGTGATGTGGAATACATGCAAATATATAGAGAAATACAATATACTTTCGCTTTATAATAATGGTAATTGAACCAAATTTTAGTAAGGAACATTCTGGGACTTAATTTAGTTAAGTAGCAGTAACATAGAGATTTTGACCAACAAACGGGACAAAGGCAAAAATTTCAGGATTGTTATAATATGAAGAATATATACTTATATTAACATACAAATAGCACCATCATATTGTAAAATAACAGTTTTTTAGAAAAAAGTGGATTTTTAATATTTGAAATAAATTTTTGTTACTTTAGTAAAAATGATATAAGCTTGAATTTACCAACCAAACCCTTAAGACTCATGGATTTTATAGATTAATTAACAATGGAATATGGCTGAGCCAGCTCAGTAGCATGAGGTATAAAACCAGAAAGATGGGGTAGACAGGAAACAAGTAGGGGGCAAAGGGAAGAGAGAAAGAATGCTAGACACAGAGAAAGCTGAGTGCCCTGGCTGACCAGAATGTGATTCTCACCCTCACTCCTACATGTCTCACCAGTTCAAACGTGTGAACTTCAAAGGTGGAAGGGACGAAGGGGATGGGAGACCCAACCAAAGGACTAACATGAGTCACTTCATTATAAGGCTTCTGATACTGTGCTAATATTGTATTAATGGTAAAAGGTAGAAAAATCAGTTACCACATCATGAATTGGATCAATATGCACATTTTATTTTGGATATTAAAGATAATAAGTCATGTTGTATCGATACTCTTAGAATTTAAGGATTAAGCATAATATTAAAAAAAAACACAAATTCAGAGTTCTAACGGGACCACAGAATAATCCAGTCAAAAACCCACACCTAGGGAGGACATAAGCACGGGGAAAGCTAAGTATTGTTGCACAGCTAGATTAACATGCTGTCAAGCTCTTCAAGGCATCTGGGCTTCTGTCCAGACACCTGGTCTTCTCACTTAGAGAAGCCCCTCCTTGCAATGACTGTGGTGACTCTTGGCTACTGAGAATAAGTGTCACTTGAGTGTTCCGGCCTGTACAGGATATTTACATTACCCTCTCTCAGGTTTAGGGAACACCATGGAAGAGGGGGCTAAATGGATCTAACCACTGGAAAAAAGAAACCAGTTTTACGAAGAGCTGTCTTTGGGCCTGGAATAGCCATGGCAAAATGAACTCATAGCATCTGTGGTGCTTACACGGGGGCTGCATAAGACTAGACCTATTGGTAGCTAATCATGGCTAGGGGAGTGATCTTTGGGTCCCACCCCTCCATACTAAACTATTGATTACTGATGGATTATGGGAGAAGGTGTGTCTTTATATTCAGAAGATTACCCACTGGTGAGCCCATCAAGCTATGCTTGATGGGTCCATATCCATAATCACTCAACTGACATTGTGAACTCAGTGGATCCCCAAACAAGAAGATGTAGGATGGTTAAAGGATTTGTAAGGGGGGGCGGGTTAGGTTGGCCGGGGTGGAAGGGAAATAAAACAATGGCACCAAAATGCATTAGGTGCATACAAGAAATCACCAAGCACAAATTTCATGTCAAAAACATCTCTGAAGAGGGGGAAATTTTCTTGAACATTATCAGTGTCTTCATATAGAAAAGTATGTTTCCCATGATCACTCAGAAACAAGTAATATTTCTAACATGTTCATAGGAAAGAATAATAGCCATAATGCAAGTCACCTGTTCCCCAATCCACAATTTAATGGTAATTTTCTTTTATTTATATTAGAACAAAACCCTTGACTCACCAAGCAGCAGCTGTGGCCCACCAGCCAATCTGCAGAATGTCTGCAATCGATGGCTATAAAATAGAACATACATGTCAAGAACTCATTATGATGGTCTACACCGGCACAAGTGGTCCCATGAGAGGAAAGAGCTCAATCACAGGTTTTACTGACCACATATGCTGAACGATGTCCTGCCCCTTGCTTCGGTGCGGCACCTGGATCACAAACTGACTGATAGTCATATGATTTATTGAATGCATAAACTGATATATTAACCAGGTGTCTCATCAAGCTTGGATCAATCTCTCCAAAAAAACGTCCAATCTAGAAAGGAAAGAAAGAGATATTCAGTGGTTTCAAATTGAAAACAACACCTCAAGTTTTGTTTAATGAAGTGAAAAAATATTATCTAAACTGAACTAAAAAAAAAAAAACAAAAAAACCACACACACAGTTGGTAAATTTGGTAAATTTGGGTAAATGAGAACCTGCCTCTGGCAATGTGGGAGAATCAACATGAAATTAGCCACTCTCATCATTCAGGGGCTATCATTGGTCTTATATTTGTGGAAGAAATGAACACCCAACCCACTTCTATGCAAAATAAAGTCACACTTAGATGTCCCTGGTGAGACAAATGGGGTTATGAGCAGGAAGTAAGGAAATGGAGTTGCAGTCATAGTTAGTACTGTTTAATTGTATACCAGAAATCAACAAAAGATAAATTTTGATTGACTTACCACATAAGGGAAGGCAATTGAGATGACAGATACTTTAACTAGCTTGACTTACAGTAATAACTATGCATAAAACATCTTAAACTTATATGCTTTCCATGGTAAACAGCACTAAAAACCCAAATATCCCCTGGAGAAATGAAGAGTACTCTTAATGAGGTGGGTAGGACTAAAAACCTATCCATCAGGCTATGTCCTGAACTGGGAGCCTCAAAGAAAGGGGCAGTCACAAACTCCTAGCTTCAAAAGATAAACTATGGTTAAGTCAGAAGCAAGGCTAGTGCTGGGAAAACCGAGAAATATAGATTCAGGATTAACAGTCTCTCTCTTATGGCCAATTTGCAAATTGTGATCCAGAAAATTGTGGTCTCTCCACATGACAGCTTAGACATTATCAACTGATTGTATTTAAGATGTAGCAATTTCCTGAATTGCTGAAAGAATGAAGGCAATTTCATATCATTCTTAAATCCTTGACTGTGTACATTAATGGTGACTACTGTTATCTAAAAGTAAAACCAATTACAAAAGGAGAGATAGATTTAGTATTTAGAGTGCATTAGTTCATATTATGATAATCTTTTAAAGATTTATTTTGTGACAAAAATTAAACAACTCATTAAGTTCTAAAAATCTAAAGGGTTTTCTGATTTTTATTATAGAAAGCACTTTGGAAACTGAACTTCCCCTTTCATACCTGATTAGTATAATCATCATGGTTTGCCATCAGAAGAAATCCACCATCATCGAGAATCACACAATCCATTACCTATGAGCAGAAGCCAACAGGTGTTAGGAAGGCCAGCATGCTGGCCCATCATCGTTACAGAGTATACAGGTAAGCTGGGCAATACAAACAAGAGAAATTTCAAAACTGCATCTTCTCCAGATAAAATGTATTCCAGAGACACTAATCTTAAACATGTAGGGCACACAGATGTTCATATGAAGCCCACAGGTTTGATAATCTATCAGCAATTATCTACCTACTAATGTCAGCTGTCTAGAACAATCTGAAAAGAGATTCAGGCAAGTATTTTTACAACTGCAAGGCCATCTAAGGATCCAGAATGTTGGCTAGAGCAGCATATGTCAGGACACATAAAATTTTGTTATTTTAAACATAATATTAACAAGAATCCTTTTTATTTACTATATTTCACAGATTAGGAAAAACTCAAGGAGTAAATATGAAAAACTATTTTACATTATCTTAATAAAAATATTTAGTTGGATAATGGAAGATTTATACAAGAAGGCAAAAGAGAATGTGCTCAAAGATGAGGAAGGAAATTTCTACCTTTTTGAAAATTTTATAGCTTATGTTGAACAAGTCATAATTAAAGCATTGATTTCAAAGGTGGAAACACAATCCACTATGTGCCCAGTATGAAAACAGTTTGCTGAAACATTTTCTTTAAAGCAACTATTCAACAGTAAAATAATATTCAACTATTCAACTCTAAAATAATAAAAGGTGTGGCTTATAATTTCACAGAAGTAGAAGTCATCAGAAATTAAAAAAGCCCTCTTCCTGCGGTAGTCTCAGACAGACACACAGGGAGTAAAGATTCACCAGCATCATTCTCTTTCAGTTCCTGGACCAGTTTCTCTAGCATCTTACTTAGAGTGTCGTCAGGCCCTTGATGACTATAGCTCACATTTTCTTTTTCAGCTTTGCAAAGACAGATGACACAAGGTGAGACCTAATCCTTAAGAGGACCCTATGAGAGACATATATGGTCCCCCGGAGAAGGGGAAAGGGACAAGATCTCCTGAGCCAATTGGGAGCATGGGGGAGGGGAGAGGGAACTAGGAGAATGAGAAGGGGAAAAGAGGAGGGGAGAGGAGGACATGAGGGAGCAGGAAGGTTGAGCTGGGGGAAGAATGAGGAGAGCAAGATAAGAGATACCATAATACAGGGAGCCATTATAGGTTTAAAAAACAATCAGGCACTAAGGAAATGTCTGTAGATCTACAACGATGGCACCATCTAACAATGTAAGCAAAAGAGGAGAGGCTACCTTAAATGCCCTCCCCTGATAATGAGATTGATGACTAATTTATATGTCATCCTATAACCTTCATCCAGCAGCTGGTGGAAGTAGAAGCAGACACCCACAGCTAAACACTGAGCTGAACTGGAATCCAGTTGCAGAGAAGGAGGAGTGATGAGCAAAGTGATCAAGACCAGGCTGGTGAAACCCACAGAAACAGCTGACCTGAACAAGGGGGAACTCTTGGTTCCCAGACTGATAGCTAGGAAACCAGCATGGGATTGATCCAGACCCTATGAATGTGAGTGTCAGTGAGGAGACCTCGGAAATCTATGGGGCCTTTTGTAGTAGATCAGTTCTTATCCCTAGCATAGGAATGGACTTTGGGAGCCCACTCCACATAGAGAGATACTCCCTGGAACTAGACACACAGGGGAGGGCCTAGGCCCTATCCCCAAGGATATGACAGACTCTGAAGACCACCTGGGCCTAGGCCCTATCCCAAAGGATATGACAGACGCTGAAGACCCCCTATGGAAGGCCTCATCCTCCCTGTGGAGCAGAAAGGGTTTGGGATAGGTAGAGTATTAGTTGGGGACGGGCAGGGGAGGAGGGGAGGCAGAGGGAACTGGGACTGACATGTAAAATAATCTTGTCTCTAATTTAAATAAAAAATGTAGAGAAAGGCAAAAAAAAAAAAAAAAGAGTGTATCATCAGCATTTAGCTCATTTCCCCCATCACCTTAAGAGGTAGGAAAATTTACAAAAAAGGACAAAAGTTGAGGGCAGACTACATTTTAAACCAATGCTTTACTTAGAAACTTCTTGAAAAATAAATTTGAAGATAATCAAAAGACTCTATCTTCACCAATACTGAACAAAAAGGGGCCCACTTGGACATGATTCCTCTCCTTCCCTTAAGATAGAAATATTTCTGAAGAAGCATGTAGAGCACCTATATTAATGAGTTTTCTACAGAACTTGTTAGCATTAGATACAAAATCCCTGGACCTTTTAAATCATTGACACGATTATTATTCGGTAAGCAAGAGAAATAAAAACACTCCAGTCAAATTTATTTTAAAGAGTTTTCTTACATCACTGTTTCTTTTGCAGTCACAAACTGGACCAGCACACTAAAATAAAAAATAAATAAAAAAGAATTAAAAGTCACCACTTCACAGTTTTAAATCAGTTGAATAACTACCTTCCTAAAATAAGACAGCCTGGAATATTTTATCTAGTCTAAATAAAAATAAACAATTATACCTTATAAGGAAAAGATACTAGCTTCATATTTAAACCCACAAAATATCAATCAATATGTGTCTGTATGAGCATTTCAAGTTGTCAGCCTGAAAGAGTTTTCATTTCATTGCCTAGGGAAAAAAATTCAAACATTGAAAACTGAAATTCCTATTTCTATTTAAGTATAGTGATACCAGAAATCTACTTTTCCACTACATGAGGATCATTTTTACTTATGTGAACTTTGAGACTGTTAATCATAGTTTAATAACTTTGAAAAAAATCTTACCGGATCCCTGATTGAAGTTTTGGTAAAATTTTCTATCCAGGAATTTACATCAATTTTAATTCCCACAACTGAAAAAATAATGTAAAGAAATTTGAAGTCATGATTGCTATAATGTCATCTTCACAACATAACAACTTAGATAATTTATAAGCTACCAAATAAATTTGACATTCAATGTAAGTTTTTTTTTTTTTTTAACTGAGGTACAGTTTTTGGAGTCATTGAGAAAAGTGCTTGAAGTTTTTAAGCTATTCCATAAACTGTATTTTAAATTTCAAGTAAGTTTTAAAAATAGCCACATAGCTCTCCAATTAATTAATAGTATTACCTAAAAAATGTGAGAGCTAATCTTAAAACTATGGAAATCATTTGAGCAGTACATATAAAGGGTTTAAGCATCAGATTCATAAGAAACATCGACTGAAAGAAGGGACTCAAATGGGCGTATGAGACATTGGGGAAGGTGGGGGATAGTGAGCGGCTGAAATAGTAAGTGACAATAGCAGGTGAGTTAGCAGTTGAGCAAAAGGTGAAGGAGTTAGTAAGTATAGTAAGCAATGGAGTGAGTCCCAGTAGTTGAGCCACAGATAGGGTAACATTGATCCCTGGAGCAAAAAAAAAAACTACTTTACCGTCTTTTCCATCTGCTCCCTCTAAATATAACTGCAAACAATACTGAGTCATATAATGAAAATCTCCACTGTGCTAGATTTTATGTTATTGTATTCACTCACTCCAGCCCACTTCTAGTTCTCATTTGTACTGTTCTGTTTTGGTTGCCTGGTTGATTTATTTTTTTCTAAGTAGTTGAACAAATTTTAGACAGATCCAGCCCCAACTGTTTTTAGCAGCTCCTTAGTAGTCTAGTATGCAGGCATGTAAATGTAATTTCATGTTTAAATGATTATAAATATGTACAGCCTTGGCACAAATCTTTCATGTGTTTGAAAATAGGAGATACTGACAGTAGCATTGGCTAGATTTATTACAGATTTAGAATTTGATCTTCTGAATAAATGTTTCCAGTTTACGATGAAATGCCATGTCTTATTTATCCTTGGTCACATATACACAGAATGTATGCTTACCTGCAGGTTTAAGAAGTTTTCCTTGGATGTACAGTTCTACGGCTTTGCTTACCATAATGCCAGCTTCATATGCACCTGGTCCACTTTCTAAAAGAAAGGCAAACAAACTAATCTAGATGAATCATTATTCCAAGCCTCTAAATGGGGCATTCTGCTTACAAAGAGATTTCAGCTTTCTCTTTTCTTGATGAATTACCAAAGAAACTTGAATAGTCATGAGTTGGTTTTTATTTATTTTTTTTAAGGATAGGGATTACTCAATTTCATCTACTTCCATAATATAATGGATGCATGCCCAATCACAGTTGTGGATTATATTCAAAATGTTGCAGAGGTTGTTGTAGGGAAATGGAAAGAAAAATCTTGGACTCACAAAACAGGCTTTGCCTTATGCGAGATGTTATGTCTGTGGATACAACTCGAAAACCTTACGGATTTCAGTTTCCTCATTTTTAAAAAGAGAGTAAAAAGTAACTATGTAAACAGAGGGGGAGGGTTGAACTAAAATGTTTTCTTTGAGGGGGGAGCAAAGAATCATATAAATTATATTAAAAGATGGACTATTATTTTTATAGATAGTAAAGTATGAAATTAACACAGATAAGATACAATTCATCACTACACTCCAACTTGTTTCTCATTAGCCATGTTTGAATGTAGTATTTGCAATGCATGGCATTAGCCCCATATGTTTCTAGTTACTGTGCATGCCTGCTAGAGATGCCAACTCTGCATTGCTGGAAGACGTCTTGCTGTGCATGCATTCTAAGTTTTCAACTAAACGCATATTTCTTTTCTGGCTCCTCAATCTCTTATACAGATTACATACTCAACAATGAGTATTCTAGGCAGTTAACAAGGTAACTTACTTGAAGGGAGAGGGACTAGGTAATAGAATTCCAACGAATACTCACTGTTAAAGTAGGGTGCAGTGAAAACATAGTTATCATTATCTAGGCTCCTTTTGTAGAAGCTGTCCTCATATGTCTCTGGATTTTCTTGCCAATTTTCTCCAGCTCTAGGGAGGAAATGGCTCTCATCATTTATATTCCTTAAGGTACATGATAAACTGAATTCCCTTTGTGGAAATACAGCTCTACAGACATATCTACTATTCAGGTATGCCTTAAGGAAGTCAGGTAAGGATAGCGTAACTGATACTCATCACTAAGCAATATATCAGCATAAGAAGAATAAGAAAGAGCTGACTCTTATTTGAGAAACTAGGGGTAGGTCAGTTAATTAGTATTAATAAGCCTTGGTACCTGTCCAACCCACTGCAGAGACTGTTGTTAAGATAACAAGAGATATGAGGCATGAAAGACCAATGTGAATAAGGATCTCCACCCTAATGCTGCTATAGGTCACCATTATACTCATTAAGCTCAGAGTTGGACTCTATCTACAAAGACGAACATCTCTTTCAACCTCTTTTAAATTTTGTAATGAATATATACAAATACGACTAGCAACTGCCATTGAAACATCCTATAATGATATTACCCAGTGAAATGGAATATTTTATTAAGATAAATACTTTAAACCATACTGCAATTTAATCTACTAACAACGATCAATTTTCCCAAAGAATAGCTTCCTTACATGGCAACATCCAGACCCTTGGCACAGGCTGTTGCGATGAACTTATTTTTACAGATGTTATTTGAACTTACTCTTTCGGATAAACTCTTGTAATCCCACCATCAGTCACCACGAAACGTGCTTTCACTCCTTTGCTAAAATAGAAGATAAAAGGAAGACATATGAAAAAGTAATCTCTGAGATGCTGAGCTGGGTGTTCATATACAAAATGAAACAAAGGAAACCAAGTTACACATATCAACACACACAAAATGGCAGGTTAATAATCTATCAAATTGAGCTCTCAGTGTTAGTGTATTTAAGAGTCATCTTGGAAGCAAGAAAGATGGAGTTGTCCTTTGACGACTGATGAGGAGCCAGCAGGGATTACGGAGGACATCAGTGTATAGAGAAAAGGGAAAACTAGTCAAGGTACTTGGTGTTTGTGAGAAAGGGCTACGACAAAGTGAGGGAAGTTATAGGAAGTCCACTCTTAAGTATACATTTCTTAAAGAGACACCCTGGCAGTGGCTTTGAAGTTCATGGTTAAGAACTGCTCCTCCCCACCTCTCTGAGAGAGAATTTGGTCTATGCCAAGGCTGACCTTAAACCTTTGCTACCCCTGCCTCAGTTGCTAAGTGCTGAGATCATAGGCATGTACCAGCATACTAGTCTTGACGCTCTAGCTTTATCTTTACATTAAAGCCCTATAGAAACAGGATTGTGGCAGGAATTCCTTGTAGGGATTGGAACTTGGTAACAGGAATGGGTAGCACTAAAGGTACAAAACTCAGCTGCTGTAATTTCTGAAAAATGGTATTTTAGGTCATTGATTATGAAGAAGAGAGGCAACCATAGTGAGAAGTATTTAGCATCAAGTGGTTGACTGGAAATGAATGGAGACGAGATTATGAATGAGAACCATCCTGCAAGCTCTCAATTACTGAGCAAGAGTACGGCATGTGTCAGTACAAAGCCAACTAAGCATTCATTAGAAACACTATTTTACCACAAACACTCATATGCCAACATGCCTATTTAATGTTTTAGCCATACCATTATGTAATGCTAACAAATGGCCAATATTACTATGGGATTGTACTCACAACTGAAAATGCAAACTATCAAAAATTGCAAAATGATTTCCAAAGCTAAATAACTAACTGAACTTATAAGGCCCATTCTCTAAAAATTTCCCAGGGAGATGTGGAACAGAAACACAATGTATACATTTCTATTAACAAGAAAAAATACTTACATATTTTTCTGTTTACTCCAGTAATTTTGGACAAGTTCATTTGTAAAACCGGCATCCAGCAAGATTCTATTAATTAAATCTGTATTGCCTGACATAAAAAGGATGTCTTTTATTAAACTCACATAGGTTTTTTAATTCAAATAATAGTGAAAGAAATAAATTTACTATTTTCAAAACCAGTTGAGCAGATATGCAAGACTATTCCATATAAATTGGGCATTTTCTACATCATTGATCTTATACATTAGGGACATGAATGAGTAAGTATTGCAAAAGCCAATAACTCATAAGAGAAAATGCTTTATTGAAAGACATCTGACTTCTAGACATGACAAGGAAGCTGCACCTATGAAAATTAAACAATAATGTTGCCCAACCGAAAATTGCACAAAGACAATAACAGTTGATATGCAACCATGGATAGGGGAAATTTTACAAGGCCCCACTGATGATGAAGAACTATAGGTAGTTTGATGACTGCTGAGAGATGGAGAATCAGTCTTCTAGAGCCAAGCCCCCTGATAGGATATCCAATTTCCATTGGTCAGCCCTAAACACAGATCGATATCAACAACACTAAATGGACACAGAGAGTATGTATGTGACTTGTATTTGCCTATGCAGATTTGCATATTTAAGATATAAATCTTAAGTATTCATATACACAGATTTGTATAGATGTATACTCATGTATAGACATATGAATATATACTTAACGTATATCTATATTCATACATACATGACACTAGTAATTGAAGAAGAGGTCATGAACTTGAGAGGGAGTAGGGGCGCAAGGCATTGGAAGGAGGAAAGGCAGGGGAGGAAAATATTTGAATATAGTACTGTTATATGCAACTCACAATTAAAAACTTAAATAATAATAAAAACATACATGAAAGCTCAAAAAGGCATTTGCATTATGACTTTCCAGGAAACAATGAGGAAATGTTCTTTTTTGTCTGTGTTTTCTTTGGTTATGCAGCTTAATAACATGCACTCATGTGTGGATAGGAGTATTAACTGAAATAATCAAGTAAAAACATCAAACACTTCTCACCTTTTTTTATAAGGAAAAGGTATTTTAACTTTTCCACTTTACACAGTAGACCATAAGCCTGACTTCTTGAAAACGCCTATAAATGTCCATTTTTGTGTTTGTCTTTGAGTAGGGAAAAGGGATAGAATTATCCTATACTATCACTATTCCAAAACTGGATTTTTGAATATAGTAATCTCAGTTCAATAGCACAGGCTTCTGGTTATCACTTCTGTAATGACTGAGAAGCATACCTGTCTGAGTTCAAAGGTAACAGAAAGAACAGAAAAACGAGGGCCCAAGATCAAAGAGCATAGCATATTCACTTTGCCTCTTGTGGCCCATCTGCTCTCAGGGTGGGAAACTTTGAGAAAACCTACAGGTGCTTGCTTCTCGAATGCATGATAAAGTCTCATTTGATTCAAGTAAGGAGTGTACAGTCTCCACTAATATCTCATTTATGTAAGAGGCAGGGGTGAGAAAGAACAATTCAGTTGTTTTTCCAATATAAAAATTCAAGTTGGGGAGGCAACTTTGAGGAGGCTTTCTGACGTTTGATAATGAATAGAAACAAATAGAAGTGCTTTGTTTAGCCTCATATAAGAGAAATCATTGCCTTTTAAACAGTAAAAAGAAAGAGAAAAGAGGAGGACATAAAAGTTTCATCTGTTTTTTCTTTCTTTCAAATTCTATTTATTGGGGTAAGTTTTGATATGCATTTGCTTTTCCTCCCTTATTTCATATTTGAATTGTTCCTGGAAGAACTCTTACAAGTAATTTTTAGAATGGAAAAAATTGATAATTAAAAGTTTAAAAGCCTAGAACTTATGCATATGAGAAAAATCTTAAAGGGTTAATGATGTAGATATATCAGAGACAACTATAATAGTTAATATTAACTATTAAAATTCTCTCCATCACTTTCTATCAGATTTGTCTCATGAGGCATACTATAAGACATGTTTGTTGAAAAAGTTGCTTGTGATTAAACTGTCGTAAACAAAGAAAACTATTAGTTGATTATTCCTTATACTCCATAAAACATACAAATTTGAAGACACAACACAAGAACATACCATATGTTTTTTTCTACATAAAGTGCATTGTAATAAAAGCCTTCAATAGGTGACTCAATGCAAAGTTTCAAAATTTGAGAGGAACAAGGGTGAGCATACCATTTAGCTTCTTTCAAGAACTGACTACCTTGCTCTGAAAACTTGATTTCACTAATAATGAAATGATATTACTTTAATATAAAAAGTTAAGGATCAAATTGCTGCATTGTACCATTAAAACTTCAAGTAATAAATAAATCAATCCACCAATAAGCTGATAGGATTATACTGAGATTTGATCATATGAACCAAATTGTCCACTTAAGACCTAAGAATTGAGGCAAATAATACAAATTCATATATACTTACAGGAAGGATTATTTGGAGTTTTTCTGTCAATAAATTCATTGAAATTTAAAAGAAATTCAGTATTATTATCAGAGAGTTTAAGGTCATTGCAGTATTCTCTGAAAAACAAGATTTGAATATTTAAGTTATTAAAATAAAAACCTGACAACGTTATAGTTTGCAGAAACAGTATTTATTGGTTGTATGCCTTTGCAAGCAATTGAGCTTATTATCCCATTTTTTATCTCTAAAATAGAATGGTCAACTGCTTAGTAAGTGGGGAGACCACAGTGTGTGGTCTCTGGAAAGTGGGAGCTCAATACAAATGTACTTATTAAAATATCATAAATTGTGTCTTTTATAAATTTCATATAATAATTAAGAACGATTAAAATATTTATTCATCATAATATTAATAAGCTCATCATGTATTAACATACCTTTCCATAGTGATCTATATGTTAAGATTAAAAAGCCATGGCAATGTCATATATTTACAAATAGCTTACATTCTTGACTTATTTTGAGGGACATTAAGAAAATATTTCCTCAGAAATAGACTTAGAAAAAAAAGGACCTTGGCTTGTTTGTTTGAGGTTTGGTGATTTTGAGACAGGGTCTTACTATGTGGTCCTGAAACTTGCTATGTAGTTGAGGCTGGCCCCCAACTTTGAGCAATCTCCCTACTTCTGTTTTCCCAAATCCTGGGGTTACAGACCCATAACACTACCATGATTTGTAAGATAGGATTATTGTAATAGTTTTTTTTCCAGTATTTTAACTATTTGTTTTTGATAACCAAAACTTAATAGTGAATTTTTGATTAGTTGTAATATTATTTTAAAATGTCAATACACTTTCATATTCTATTATATTAAGAGCCAATGTACTACCTTGTGCTTAGGTTGAACTTATAATATCATAAATTATTTAGAAAAATGTGATAACTTTTAGGCATAATTACCAAATCATCATTCATCAAACCCAAAACATTAATATCACCACAGAACTCACTATATAATGCAGATCTGAACCAGGTTGCTGCCATGCTCACAGCAGCAGACACACTTTCTCCGAATCTGACTTTGTTTGCAAGCTTTTATATATCATGCAGCCACAGTTTCAAGTGTCTCATTTGACCTATTACTGGAAAATATCTGCTGAGTACCTTACTATGAATTGGTAGGGCCATCTGTCATTTGTTCACATGCAATAGCATGTTTTAAAGCAAAAGAGAAGGCACCTGCTCTGAATCCTTACTCAGCTGCACAGTATGACTTTGAGGAATTAGGTTACTCTAGAATGGAGTGGAACTGATTTCTTCATTGTGGAAGACTGAGTATTGTTCCTTTTCTAGATGAACATCAAGAAAGTTAATAACTTTTACAGCTTCAATCATGGATATTTTAAAGCAAACTTTGTTGTGTAATATTACTTTATATAAAGATGTTGCATTTATTTATGCTGTGAAATATTACTTTAACCATATAAAGATGTGTAATATTTGTTTTACCTTGCCTGCAGAAAGCACCTGATTGGTCCAATAAAAAGCTGAACAGCCAGTAGCTAGGCAGAGGAGTGATAGGCAGGACTGCTGGGCATAGAGAATAAGTAGGAGGAAGAATATAAACTGGAGAGAGAGAACCAGAGAGAAAGAGAGGGAGATGCCAGGGTTCAGGCATCTTCACCAAGGAAGCTGGGAAGTGGGAGATACAGAATAAAAGAAAGATAAAAAGCCCCAAGGCAAAATATAGATGAAGAGAAATAGGTTAAAATAATTTATAAGAGCTAGTGTGATAAGCCTAAACTAAGGCCGAGCATTCATAACTAATAATAAGTCTCTGTGTCATAATTTGGGTGATGGCAGTCCTGCTACAAAAAAAAGGCTCTTGCCTGTATGTAAGTGTCTTAAATAACTACTGTTGCTTACTCTTAGAGACCCTCGGCTTGCATTGCTCCTACTGTGACTATGAGCAGCAAGGAGGAAAACTGGAGTAAACAGCACTTATTTCCCACTAAGTATATAGTTAGACCGTTCAAGTTCTATGAAAAGGAGTCTGGAACCAACAAGTAAGCTCTAAGTAAGCAAATCTTACGTATACAACTACAATCCTGATCAGAAATACAGGAAACATAAAGACAACAAAACTCACAATTAAATCAAGCAGGTTCATCCAACCAGTGGAAAGAGCTAACATTCAAGATAAGGGATATAAGTGGTAAACATCTCAACAACAAAAGCAATCATTTAAACACAGAACCCTTAACAACAGAGCAGAGCAGAGAGTCAGAACTTCAAAAACAAAATTAAAAATTTGAGGTTAATAACAATTTTTATCTGAAGAAGAAAAACAAATATGCATTACTTTTTGTTGAGAGCAACTTAACACATTTTAAAAATTATGCTTAATATTTTAGATATAATAATCTTGCTATGAAAAACTTACTTTAGAGGCAAAGTTTAGAAAGTTCCCATGATGTAAATGCATTGGGCTGTCAGGAAAGCTAGGTCTGAGTTGCCCATAGGGCTCTGCTATTTCAGAAGTAAGCAGAGCCCTGAAGTCTAAAAACATCTATGTTGTATTTGAGTTATGATCTCATGAGCTAGAAGCCAAAAGCACAATTTTAGAGGACTGGACAAAAATATACTGCAAACTATTATTCAAACCATATCTGGACTACCATTTTATTATTTAAAGACACTTCTGACTGGATTTTATTCTTTTAATTGAAAAATACTTTAATCAAAGGCATTTAAAATGCCAAAGGGCAGAAAATTGAGTCTCAAAGGTATCACAGGATTTCCCCAGGGGCATCTTACTAGCAGTGGGGCTAACCCCAAGAAAACCCTTCTTCAGATGACTAATTTGTGTCCTTTCCTAACAGGAGACAGAAACATACCAGAGATTCTGGGACTGAGCTTCTGGAAGTGAACAGTTCTAACACTTCCCCTTGGCCAATAGTTGGAAATGCCCTTGATTCTGTCCTGGCTACTGTCCAGGAATTCCAGAGAATTCCAGTTGTAGTTAATGCTCCCTTTTTCTAGGTAAACACCCTGCTGTCACCTCTCACTGCCACTGAACTCTAAGTCAAGAGCAATTTTGATTTGTATCAGCAAACAGAAAAATTCTGTTGTTTGGACCAATCAATTAGACACTCCCCCTCCCTGGGCGGGCTCATTTATGACTTAATCTAAAGTTACCATGTGCCTTTTTGTTATATAATAATGACAAAAGATATTGTGTGATAGTGTGAAAACTGAATGAGAATAGAAACAAATCAGATAATCTAAACAATACATTCCTGAGAAATACTGAACAGGTTGGTGGTGGAGCCAGTTGTTGGATAAAAAGAATATATATGTGACAACTGAAAATCACACAGCACATTGTGCCAGATTCAAACACACCATTAGTGTGTGGCATACCAGGTACTGAGTCTAATGATTAAGAATCTGATAGCCTCTGGTGCCGTGGGGTGTTGGAGAAGAACTCAGCCTTCCTTAAGGGGATTAATAAGCATGCATTGCATCATGGTGACAAGGGTTAAATTATGTTAGCTAGTTTTTGTCAACTTGACACAAAGTAGAATCACTTGGGAAGAGGAAACTTCAACTGAAGAGTTACCTCTATCAGATGGTCTGGGCATGTCTGTGGTACATTTTCTTAATTAATCGTCAATATGGGAGGGCCCAGCCCACTGTGAGCAGTGCCACTCCTGGGCAGGTGGTCTTGGGTTCTATAAGAAAGCAAGCTGAGCAATCACAGAAAGCAAGCCAGTAAGCAGCACTGCTTCATGGCCTCTGTTTCAGTTCTTGACTTTAGGATCCTTCTTGAGATCTTGTTCTGACTTCCTTCAAAGATGGACTATGGTGTGGAAGCATAATCAAAATAACTCCCTTCTTTCTCTAAGTTGCTTTTGGGTGTGGTGTTTTATCAGAACAACAGAAAAGCAAATTAGATTGGTAAATAATGCAGGTGTGAACATCCGAGTTAGCTTTCCAGAACCCACATAAAAATTTCAAGAGTGATGACAAGGAGGGGAGATTGATGGATCCTTGGGGCTTCCTGGTCAACAAGCCTGGCCTAATTGGCCAAGTTGCAAACCAATGTGAGTCTGTCTTAAAAAAAACAAAACAAAAAAAACACCAAGTTGGATGGCCTTCAAGGAGCAAAATTCTCCAAGGCTGACTTCTCATCTCTGCACTTGTGTATATATTATTATGGGTAATCATATGTTTTTAAAAAATGATATTCAAATGTTCTTAGGTTCTCCAGTTACCAAGCATTTTCTCAGCTCTACAGTGTAAAGGACAAGGGATTCAACACCGAATGGCAAATAGTAATTCAAATGGATGCATAGTGTTTCCGTGAAGTAAACTGAATAAATGAAAGGTGACTAAGTCTTTGGTAAGGAAAACAAAGAACTGTATGAAGCAATCAGCAGGATACATAATAAAGCGATGCTGGAATTCCCAGGCTGATGCTGAGGTTTGGGATTTAGTGTGGTTTGTGTATACAGAGTGAAAACATGCAAAAGAGAGTAAGTGGGAAAAATGGGCATGGGGAAACCTTTGAAAATAAGCAAATGCAGCAAGGGATTCATATTCTTCAGGATGAAGTCTGTGCTAGAACTAGTCAAATCTATTTCTGTACTAGCCCACAGACTGTGTCCTACTAAGCATTCACTAACTGTCAAATTGACAAGGACGAGAGTCACTTGAGAAGAGAATCTCAGTTTAGGGATTGCATCATCAGTTTGGCCTGTGGCCATGTCTGTGGATTTCTGTTTTGATTGTTAACTTCTGCTGTAAAGTTCATCCCACTGTGGATGGGACCATTCCCTGGGCAAGTAGTAGATAGGCAGATAATGAAGCCCGTGTGAGCTAGCCACCAAGCAGTGTTCTTTGGTTTCTCTGTCTAGTTGTAGTGTGAATTCCTGCCCATTCTTCCCTCAACAACAGACTATAACTTGAAATTGTGACTAAACAAACCCAATCCTCTCCTAAGTTGCTTCTGGGCAGAATGCTTTATGATGGCAACAGAAATTCAAACTAGAACAGACATTATAGCCACCAGAAACAGTACATGAGAAAATGAGACCTTCTCTACTTCAGTAAACAGGCAGCCAGTGTGCAGGCTCCCAGTTTCTAGTAAAGGGAACCACAACAGAATGTGAATCCTGGTGACAGAGCACTTGAAAGCTGTGGAATACAGCCCATAATTATCATTATAACAACACAGAGCCGCTGGTTAGTAAGTAGCACTTGAGAAAGATTCCTTCACAGTTTAAAAACTCTCTAGTCATGGAATAGAAACAGGGTTGGAAAGCAGGAGCAAATGGAGGGAATGTGAGAACCACTCAGATGTAGCTATAGGCACAAAAAAAAGGCCTTGGCCTGCACTAGGGAGAAATAACTAGAGTGACAGAAATGTACAGAGGTCCTAAGATAGACCTGGAAGACTCAGGGATCAATTAATAGTAAGACATTATTAGCAAATGGGAGCAGATCAGGACAACTGCCATGTCTCAAGATTGTACATTGGAAGAAAACTATTTCCTTCTTAAAAGCAACACAAGAAGAGCTTTCCAAGTGGGACAAATATTTACAAGACACTGAATTGGAAGCACATTGAAGAAACATTCCTGTTAGGCTTTCATGACACATGAATGTCTTATGTGGAAATATGAGGGTGGACAAAGTCTGGAAGGAGATCTGTGCGAGTCTCTACTAGAATGTCAACAGGCCACTTGCATCTGCTGTTTCCAGCAGTTAGAACCCTCATGTTGGATTTGGGAGACATCATCCCAACTTGAATGTGAGGAATTAAAGCTAGGCTCATGGTTTGAAGATGGACTCATGTAAGGAGAGAGCCCAGGTAGGCATAGTTCTCACCTCCTTCTCTATGTGGGGAAGAAATGAAGCTCCTGGGAGAATCCTGTATCTGCAACTGGACAGGACTAAGGAAACACGGTGTAACGTGTGTTTGAACAGTGTAACATGGGAGAGATGCAGAAAGGAAGGAGGAGATGGCCAACCCCATCCACAGCACAATGAGGGGGACTCTTTCAAAGCCAAGGATGAGCCTTGTTAACTGTGGTTTTTCAAAATGGTACAAATACTACCAATTTTCAAAGAGGCAGAATTTAGTATTTTCCATACGTAAAAATGAAGGATTAACTCTGAATAACTTTAGAAAACCTTTTTAGGTTCTTCAAAATTTTTCTGATCAAAGTGCAACTGGAAACAATAATTAGAATTGCCTCCCTCCATTTTCTTAGATTATTTAGCATAGATTAGTAGGAAATGTATTCAATTTGATACTGTATACTGTGTACTAAAGGCAGGGAACCAAAATAAGAAAGAAAGAATAAAAATAAAAAAAATTAATAGTTTCAAATACTCAAATAGAGGTGGAATAAAAATATGTATTATGGAGAGTGATTACATGAGAGAAACAAAATTGGCTAGTAAGATATGTTCATATGCAAATTATGGAATAAGGTTGGGTATCACTAAGCATACTTGGAATCTCAGAGTTGAAAGAAAGTGATAGATTCTAGGAGATTCCTAGTTAGCCAGTCTAGCTGAATTTGCAAGCTTTAGAATAAGTGAAAGACCCTGTCTCTAGGGAACAATGTGGAGAGCAATAGTGAAAAAAGAACTTTGGCTCCATGTGCACACCTACTTGCACACCTACATGGAAACACACATGACACATACATTATATGAGGTAATGTTACTGCATATATCACACATCATGCACATAAACACATAAACACACACACACACACACACACACACACACACACACACACACACACACACACATACACACACACAATGTGAGGCACTGTATTTTCCTCTCCTCCAGCTGGACAAGACACCAAAATGAAAACAACCCAAGAGAGGAAGGTGATTCGGACTCTGTGAAGAAGCAGGGCAAAACATTGGTGAGTCCTGTTTGAGAAAAGGCCTCTGAACTTTGGCATTGGACATCCAGCACCAAAGAGACCTCATTCACTTTGTCAATGGCCTTAATACAATAGACTCCACTCCAAAGGCCTATACTCTATAGCAATTCAAACACCTGAAGTTCACCAAGGCCCTAGACTGTCAGCTTCCCAGCTGCTTAAGGTTGCCCACAGCACAGACCAGAGACAAAGGGACAGAAGACACAGAGGCAGTGAATTCACACTGAGGAGAAAGCTGCTGCCAAAGGGAATGCCCCTACAGAGACCACTTGTTCTTTGATGGGGTCCATATTGTCACTACATTGTGGAGAACAAGCTCAGCTGGCGTTGGTTGCCCACCATGTAAACCGTATAAAGCTGGTTTTCCTGCCTGCTGTGTCACAATATAGGAGTCCACTGTTGCATCATCCAAGGCCTGGCTAGGGCAGCTGGTGCACAGAAACACATGCAGTACCATTGCCTCACACATGTGAACTCAGAAGGCAAAAGTACTCTGGTTAAACTAGTAAAGCAATCTGGACCAATAACAATGGAAGATACAACAATCTGGGGAGATAATGTATGGGGTCCAAAATTAATGGGTGGCACTGTTAATCTTAAAAAGGCAAAGGCCAAAAATTTACAAGCAAACTTGATAGCATGTATCATGTATAATGTCAACTTTTCTATGTATAAAAATAATAAAAAATGATTCTTCAGTAAAAACCTACCATCCAGAAATCTGTGTTGAGTACATAAAAATACAATTATGAGCTAAAAACTTTTCATATTTAAATGTGTGGTCTTGACATATGTATGTATGTGTTTGCATATATGCTCCCAAGATAATTATATGTGGAGTATCTTTGTGCTTATATGTATATGCTCTGCAACCTCCAGTAGACATTACTAGATGCACTGTTTATTCCTGAAGACCAAAGCTCCTCTGTTCTATCTGCCATTGGGCACATGACATCTCATACTGCTCCATCTTTACCAATTGCTCCACCAGTATTTAAACAAATAGCAGTTATTTGAATGAATAAACAGGATATCGAAAGCTTAAATGTCATTGTCCCTTTGGTTTCATAATTGAATACAGAATTAACTTAGATTAATCTTGATCCCAATTAAGGATTTTTTCTGAAGGACTTAACCAACAATATGAGTTATTACAGAAGAAATCAGAACAACAAAACCAACCTTGGTGCTATGAAGGTATAGCCTGATTCTTCAAAATTGTCTGGCTTCAGGGTTTCTGAATCTGAAAATGTAATGACATAAGATAAGATTAATAATACAGAGCATATGCTTCAAGGGTGTAGGACAACATGAAAACATTGTAAAGAGTCCCGACTAAGAAAAATTTAAACAGACTATTTACATCTTAAACTTGAAACAAATTAACTGTCAAGATTCTCAATATAATTCTCTCTTACTATTCCCAGTATAGTAAGATCATGGGTAAGCTTCACTAGACAATTATAGCAGTAATTACTTATAAAATGCTATTTATGCTTTTCCATTTACTAATTTTAATATACTTAAGTATTTTAAGGTATGATACACATATTACAGCAAGTGGATTATTTAAAATATCAATGAAGTTTATTAACATTGTGATTAAATACTTTGAACTCATTCATGCATTTGGTGAAGTAATAAGAATCTCTATATTAGGTATGGATTAGTAGGTGGAAAGATGTAAAAAGAAACATGATATTAAGCCTAAAATATGTAATCAACTTGAGAGTGACAGGTTGCCTGAGCAAACACAGGCACATCCGCCCTGTTCTGTTGCTAACTTTCAGGTAGTCATGGAGGAAATTCTAACCAATGTGAAGCACAGAGGATAATAACCAGTAGGAGCGAAAATATTAGTGAAAATGCTGTGTACTAAACAGAAAGAAATTGAGCAACAAGAAAATACTTGCCCTTCATTTTTCCCTTTTTTGCTGTAAGTCCATCAGAAAGAGAAAGCAGGGAAACAAAAAAAAAGAGGGTAAAGTAAAGGGATCACAAACAATATTTTATTCAATGACTGTGAATAAAAATATTGTGCATAGATCAAAGGTCCATTTATGTACAGCTGTAGTTTGGGGAGAAAAACATGTATTTTTGAATTCTGGAAGTTACGTTCTTTCAATTTTACTCTTGTTCCTTCTCTGTACTGTGGTTATTTCAAGGGTCTGTTTTTGCAGAGTGGCTGATGCGGGTGCAGTGCCAATGGTGCCAGCTCGGAACAGAAGCACTTACCGATGAGCACACTAAGTATCTCCTCCTTTATCACATAAAAAACTAGCTCATGCAAGAGTTGCTGATTGTTAAAAGACCATCATATCTATCAAGTGAAAGTGCAAATGTATACTTTAATCTCCCATGATACAGAAGTGTCTACCACGGCTGCAAACAGCAAAAAGACAGGCCGAGAAAAGATGGGAAACAGTAAAAGACACATATGTATTTTCTTTCCTGAATCCTAACAGAAAAAAATTTAGGTTGCTAGTAACCATTGAGTATCGAACAGAGGATATGATGGTCATTTTGTTGAACTAAATCTAGCCATCAAAAACAAAATAAAACTTAAAAAGTGACTTGAAATAGGCATTGATGTTATTTACTCCACATTCCAAAGGATTCGTAAAAGTGAATTTATTTGAGTTACTGAGACATTAATTTGGATTATAGAAAGAAAGCTAACTGCCAAGCACAATGTTATTCTGGCCAAATGCAATAAAAGAAAAGAAAAAGAAGAAAGAAAAGGAAAGTTAAGCAAAGGAAAAGCTTTGCTAGCACAGAGCATGAGCAGAGACCATGTTGGTATCAGCATGTGAAACATTTCACACCAGCTCACAGACCCTTAAAACGACAGGCACAGAGGACACAGCACTGCAATGATTCTCTGAGCACATAGCAAGGCAGGGAAGGGTGGTGGGACTGCCAGTGAGACTGGAGTACCCTGCTCATATTCTATCCACGTAGAATATTCTTGTTCCTTGCATGTTTGGAATGGGTTAGAATCATTGCTGTAGATCTCATAATAATACCTACTAAAACGTATAAGCCTTGGACACTCCAAAGTCTAGGTGTAAACATCTACACTAGGAGACAACAAGTAGATCCTGAAGTTGCTTTCACAGTACTTACATCTGGCCTGAGTTATTGTCTCTTCTATTTTGGCTTTTATATAGTAAAAACTGTAGGTTGGCAATACCAAGGCCAAACTGCAATAGAAACAAGAGAAGCATAAACACAAACAAACAAAAATGAAAGGTAACTTAAAAAACAAAACAAAACATCAAGTTCATGGGAAAATCCAAAGATCTTCCTCATGCAAAGGAGAGGACATGTTACTTTGACAAGAAAATGCATTCAACAAATAGAGTTCTTAATCTCTACTTCGTTAAACCGTGGCATTCTGTTCTCTACAGGGCAGGGAGCAAAGAGGCAAGGGAGTAATAAGCTATCTAATGGAGCCATAAAATAGCTGGTGATGAATGCCTTGGATCCCTGATATATTTCCAGATAGATTAATTATGTATTCCAGATTGTGATTTAAAAAAAAGGTAAACAGTGTTTAAATTTAAACAAAGTAAATATCATACCAGTGGATACACCCTCTTTATCATACATAATGTTGAATGTTTTGAACCAAACACAAGTAAAAACTAAAAATGAAAAAATAACCATTGCTACTACTGCACAGTGCACAAAGATTTCAGAAATTCACAGTTGGGAGGGATTCAATACCCACTGATTTAAAGTTCTGGTCCTGTGGGAAGATCCCTGGTGTCTGCATGTGGACAAGTTCTGACCCATTATAGAGACTGTTCGATTCATTCGTACTCATTTGTACAACTCACTGTACAACTGCTTTTCTGTGGGCATGACTGAGCACACTGTTATTAAAGAGAAAGGATTTCTTGAGTTTAGTAGTTTTGAAGAGTCTGGAGGCTTATGTAGTCTAACGGTTGATGTCCTAACCAAAGAACATTTCCACTCTAATCCTAGGCCAACTTCAGAATGTTTTAGTCACAAAGAGTGTTAGGCAAGCCTGTCACCCACCGTGTTGGAATGGTGGCTCACCAAAAGCTGCCAGATCGGTAACCTTACTTTTTAAAAAAATTTCTAATTCATAGAATACCCTATGAATGTATTAGAGCTTTTAATTAAGATTAAGCAGTAGTCAGAAGTAAACTTCTTTGCTTCCTTCAGCTAATATACACATGTAAGACACAGAAATGATTGTTTATCTACATTTCCCAAAGCAAATGACCTTTGATATATCTTGAATGTATAAGGAATCCTGTGAGTCTTGGATGTAAGAAATGGGTGCATTTCTAAAATGGTCAATGAAACCATACATAAAGTGTTAACAAAGTTTTACCTTTACCTCAAATATTAGTGAAACACCAGATAATATCTTCCTTTCTAGGAATTTGAATATTGTAAAGTACTTGTAGATACTTTAAGCCATCCTACCCCACCTCCCATACCCAGATAAGGGAATAGAAATTCAAAGTATTATTTCACTGCATGTTATTGATAGACAATATATAATAAACCAAATAAAAAATTTCAGACTCATCTTCTTTTCAATAGAATTGTTAAAATTTCCCTGTACAAATGTTCAAATGCATGGGTTTACTTTCAAAGATTTAATTTTGCAATAAGATGGCAAAAATTAGTGGGTGCTTGTCATCCTCAGTTTCTGAAGCTTCCACCACCATAAGTAATTCATAGTCTTTGCGTATGGGAGAAGGTCAGGGAAATAAAATGTTATGTAGAGTTAATAATTATTTCTACATTCATTTTATAGGTAACTTCAAGGGTAGGCAGGGATTAAATTTAAAATAAGCAATGCAATCATTCTGAAAGCAAGATGATCTTTCATGATTCACTTGCCATTAATAAAAGAACAGAATTTCTGAGTATTTGAAAACCGCCTCCTACAAATTTCTCTCAAGGGGAATTAAGGCATTTTTGTTGCTCCTTCGGCATTTATCACCATCAAAATCTTCTAATTGAAACTGATAATACCATATCCTATGACTGCTACAGTGTCTCTCTATAAGCTTGAGTTACATGTTATGCTCCACCAAAAGTGGTGTAGCAACCATGGGGAATACCAATGAAATATTTAAAATTGGCACATTAAATATATGATGTGTTGGCCTTCAAGACTGCTGTTGTTACTCATAGTCACAAATCATTCTGTAGAAAAATAGTTATATCTATTTCCAAGTCAATCCAACAGTTATTTTTCCACATATTGCAGATAAGATCTTTATCAACATTCCAAGGCAATGATACTTTCCTATGCAAGAATTGCTTGATCTCATAATATGAACCCAATACAACAAGGCTCCTTGATTCTTCTCAGAGACTGGAGTTTAATAAAGCAAGTGACACTAGATGGATGATAAAACCCAAGTAGTAATTCTGTGATTCACATAAACCTAGTTAACTGAATTAAATGGACTATAACACAGTTTTCAACTCAAATCATTTATCCCCATCATAGTCTCTTTAGAAAATAGTACATTCCAATAAAAGAAGTCATTATTTACATTTTAAAATGTGTTACCTAAGTTAGATCAAAGTTTAAGAAAACAGAAATCCCTGTGTCTGAAAGTGGCTTTTCACTCATTTAATTAAATCATACATTTTCAGGCTGAATATGATACTTGTTAGCTATTTGTGAATTATCTGCCCAGACATTAGGACATATATGTAATTGAGGCCCAAGGTAGAGAATTTGTAATGGACTATGTGAGGAAAGCATGCAACTTAAGGAAGCCATGGCTTCTTCCTAGCACAGTATGGTGAGTGACTACAGCAGTACAATGACAGCATACAGGCTGTGGTAGAAATGGGTGGAATCAATCTCATCCATAATAGTTCTGAGGTAACATTTTGTGAGCAAAGACTGGCACAGAACATGAAGAAGAACATTACTCATACTATGCATTGCTCCTAGGTGTGTAAAGAGTCTGAGTGAAGAGTCCACTGGGGAGATAATTACAAACTCATATCTACTTGTGAACATTGTGAGCCACAGTCGTGATTGGCCTGGCACGACTGGCCTATCTATGTAATGGTGGCATGAAGAACCTGGAACCACTTTCTGATACGGTATACGACTGACTCTACAAGATGAAATCCACACGTGGCACCATTTTTGGACCAAGAACCTCAGAATAAGCAGATCACAGGCCCAAGGGAGAACCTATTACTACTATTCTGTTAAATGCATGAAGGATTAAACCAACTACTAGTGACTTATTATTATACCCACAGATTAATGCATCTCTCCACTCTAATCAGAGAAGCCTTTATTTTCGTTAGATGGTGACGGATGTAGAGGATCAGAAGGCAGTATGTTCAACAGTAAATGGGACATCTATATTACATCTTAAGGCCCAGAGATCACTGTAGTAGAGCAAGAAGTTAGAGCCAGGAGTGGTGGATGACTGTGAGAAAAGAGTGTTGTCTAGCTACAGCAGCACACATGAACTTGGTGTGTGGCTACACAGCAGGCACAAGAATTGTGCAAGCTCAGTCCCAACCAAATCCCATCATGGTGAAGGGAGGTGAACACAAAATCTCAGACTTACTTAAGAGTTCTTAGATGTTGATTGCTGGAAAAAGTAAGGGTAAGTCTTCTAAGGAGGTAGACCTAAGTAAGACTAACACATGTCAGTGGAAGGTCATTCATCCAACAATAAACAGGCAGCAGACATGCAGATATTGGACTCTATTGGATTATTTTTGAAAAAGGTATGTATTTGGGTGGTTTGGAAGGTAGGGGCATATCTGAGAGGAGTTATAGGGTAGTGAATGCAATTAAGACATCCTTAAGGGACTAAAAGCAATAACAAGATCTCAAAAATTAAGATCACCAAAAAGGTAGCCTTGTAAGTGAACTAAAAGCAACTTTCATGGCTTTATAAAAGATTGTGCTTATCGGAGCAACAAAGGCAGGAACCACATTCCCATATAGTGCAACCAATACTTTATTTATTTATTATGTTTTTTCTTTTTTTTTTTTTTTTTTTTAGCTTTTTGAGACAGGGTTTCTCTGTGGCTTTGGAGGCTGTCCTGGAACTAGCTCTTGTAGACCAGGCTTGTTTAGAACTCACAGAGATCCCCCTGCCTCTGCCTCCCGGGTGCTGGGATTAAAAGCATGCACACCACTACCGCCTGACTTGGTTTTTTCCTTTTTGAGACATGGTTTCTCTGTGTAGGCTAGATTGTCCCGGAACTAGCTATGTTAGACCAGTCTGGCCTTGAACTCACAGAAAATCTCCTGTCTCAACCTCATGAGTGCTGGCATTAAAGGCATGCACCTCCACTGCCCAGCAATACTTTGTTTTATAATGACACCATTTCTTAATAGATGGGAATTCTCAGTGTCCTGTACCTTCATGGACTTTTATAGGTTTGTTCAAAAGTTGAAAGATGGTAACAATCGAAATAAATGACTAAAACCAATTCTTGTAAATACTCATGAACAACATGCAAATGTAAAGAGAGGCTTAGAAGAAAGTTAGATATTACAATCTACTAGTTACATAAAAATGAGTAAAATAATAAAAATGGTCCTTCTGGTATTTTTCAATGTCCTAAAGTTTAACTAAGACAAACGGAGAAGGACTTGAATGTAATATGTCAAGGCATTAACATCATGTTTTCTTCTTCTACATTCTATTTGTCATCCTAAGCACAAAAGGAGACAGGTTCCTATGACAACAACATTGTAGCTTTCAGACATCTCTGGCACTCAAGGCTCCCCTAAGAGATTATGTGTATGAAGTTTATGAGGAGTTGCAAAACAGAGAAAACAGCAACAGCAACAATGAAAAGATATAGCTGAGTCTGAGTCTGACACAACAAATTAATTAGGGTTTCTACTGATTAGTGATAAATGCATAGTCAAAGGTCACATGTGAAAATTATGACAGAAATTTTGGGATATAATTTTCTGAATTTGACAGGGTGAAACAGATTCCAAGTTTATTCAAATTAAAAATTATTTCTTTACATTGAGACTCTTCAATTTTATAATCATTTAGAAAGTACCTACTCTATGCCTCTGTGTTGTGAGCATGGGAGTCAGAGACAAATGGAGTGTCACCCATCTCTGCCCGCTTAGTACTCAGGGAAATTGTTGCCAACAGAGTTAAATGCCTTTCTATAAGCCTCATGTATACGTGTGTGTGTGTGTGTGTGTGTGTGTGTGTGTGTGTGTGTTTGTGTGTAAACACAAATGAGTTTTGGGTGACCTAACTGGTACTAATACAGTATTGAAAACAGATATGAAAATATCCTGTGAAGAGTAAAGAAAGGCATAAAGTAGAAGAATAATATACAGGAGGGTCTGTCTTGGGAAGTAATTTTAATTTAAAGTGATCAGGAACAAAGGCCTTGAAACAGAAAGCTATTAACATCTTTGAGGAGAAGTAAGACTTAACCAGAGGATGTCAATTGAGTACTTGAACTGTAAATTCAGAATCTAGTACTGAAGGAGAACAGTAGGGTTAGAGAACTGATGCCATGATAGACTTTGACTGTTATTTTGAATGAGAGGCCAAATTATTAGGGCATTTGAGTGGAGCTGTATTGAACAATTAAACTCAAGTATGATTGTTTTCTGTAGTGAAGTTAAAAACTAACCATCAAAGATGGAGCAACTCATTTAATCTGCTGTGTACTTTGGTGAGAATTTGCCCTGATCACAGTATTTTCCAACAGAAGAGAAGAAAGTAGAATCTCACCAAAGAGAAAATGCATAGGGAAAGGGTTTGAGAGAAAAAAGGAGTAATGAAAAGACATATCTAAGTATCCTAAATTTGTTGTGCTGTTGAGACCTCTAGGCCCTCAAAAAGGCTGCCTGAGGTTAGTTGACCTGATAAGTTATCAACACTTTACTACCATGATGTCTGGTGAAGTGTGGTATTGGAAATGATTTGGAAAATATAAAGCTTTGGTAGATAAAATGTACAAACTGCAAAAGATGAAGCCAATGTCTAAGTAGGAAATGATGAGCTCATCACAGAAGGAGAGATGGAGAAATGGAAAGTCATCTCTCTTAATACTACATAAGTGTGGCCTACAGACCTTGTCTGTTTGCCAATTGCCAATTATTTTTCCATGAGTAAATATATCTATATATAGATATAGAAATAGAAACTGAGAATAAGCTTTTAAAAAATAACTTGACAGACTAAGTCTGTAGAATACAATGACAAAAATTGACTTTATTGTATATTTTAAGATTTATTTTACCAAATGCATTCTGTTTTACTTTACCCATATAAATATCTCTTACATAGTGGCCACCGAATGTGGATCTCTGTGAATGTAGGCGAGTGAAAATAAGTCTATATTGAAAGAATGAAGAGAGACTGTTAAACTGAAGGAAGGTTGGATGGTAAGGGTGGTTTGATAATATGAAATTCAAAAGGGCATATTTCTAAGAAGAGATAATGAGAGGCAAGACAAAACTATGGTGATACTTTGTTTGTGCTTTCACAAATAAAGCTTGCCTGAAGATCAGAGTTCAGAACTAGCCACTAGTTACCCATAGAGGCCAGGCTGTGGGGGTGCACGGCTTTAATCCCAGCACAGGCATATCTCTGTGAGTTCAAGGCCACCCTGGACTATACAACATTAATCCAATCTAAAAGACAGACAGGCAATGATGGCTCATATCTTTGACGCCAAATCCATTACTTAGGAGTCACAGGTCTTTAACCCCAGCACTAGGAAGGTGGAGACAGGAAAGGATATGGCTCCATGGAGAAAGGAATATAAGGTGGGAGAAGACAGGAGCTCAGCACATTTAATCTTAAGATTTCTAGATACAGGATTGCCCATTAAGTCTGAAGATTCATAGGGACAGGATCACCCATTCAGTCTGAGGATTCAGTAGAGGTAAGAATTAGTGGCTGGTTTGTTGTTCTGTTTCTCTGATATTTCACCATTAACCCCTATATCTGACTCCAGGTTTTTATTATTAAGACCAATTAGAATTTGAGCTACATGAGACATTGTACTATTCCAACTATGTGGAACATAGGACCAAAGAGAAAGCAGGAAGCTCTGAGATTTAAGAGAAGAGAGCAGAATAGTTAGGTGTGGTGCCATACACAGTTAATCCCAGTACTCAGGAGGCAGAGGCAGGCAGATCTCTGAGTTTGAGGCCAACCTGATCTACAAAGTGAGTCCCAGAACATCCAGAGATACACAGAGAAATCCTGACTTGAAGAGAGAGAGAAGGAGAGAGAGAGAGAGAGAGAGAGACAGACAGAGAGAGAGAGAGAGAGAGAGAGAGAGAGAGAGAGAGAGAGAGAGACAGAGACAGAGAGAGAGAGAGAACAGTAGAGTAGTGGTCACTGAGTTTGAATATTGCATATGGGGCTTTGTAGGGTCCAATTTACAGAAAATGGGAGGGATCCAGACATCATTGAACTGTTCAGTGGGGCTAAGGTTATTTCATATCACACATAATGAAAAGCACACTATTAATTTTTAGCTAAGCTACAACATTAATGAAAAAAAACTGGGCTAAATGGAAATAAAAGAGGAAGTCCATAGAAGTCATATCTATAAATTATGGCTATTACATCAATATTTATTACTACTGTCACTAAGTAAAGTTATCATTTCTAAATGTTATATTGCTAGTTACTTTCCACTTTTTGCATGCTGAAAATCAGACTCTAATTCATTTTTGTGCTGGCGGAGTAATTTTTTTATTGAAACTTCCACTGAAAACAACAAACTAAAATTAAGATTTCAGACTATTGAAAATTAACCACCAAATATTAGAAAAAAGTTCATTGAATTGAACAGTCCTTTATACAAGGCCATTGTAAATGTAGTTAAGTACCTGTAATCTGTGCCATTGACAGGCGTCCATGTGTATGTTCGATTCCCTTTGTCAATGTATCTCTAGAAAAAAAGTTAAACATGGTCATTATAGCCCCGTTCATATGAATTATAGAAAGAGTAAAAAATACAATGTCTACCTGGAAATCTGTGGTCATTCAACATCATTTCATTCATAAGTGAAATGACATATTTCTATTATATACATTTAAAAATTTTTGATGTGTAAATTTGTCAAATAAAAGTTGGGTCAGAATTGAATACTCAAATGATACAGGTTAGAGACTTATTGTACGCATAAAAACTTAGTATTTGATAACAGAGTACTTTCTTCAAAACTCTGAAAGATTTAATTAAAAGCACATTTAATGTAAAAACAGGACTGTGGACATGGTTCAAATACCAACCATAGTAGAGTATGTTTAAGAATGATAGCTGATACAAGGAGGAAAACACATTAGCATTTCTACATCTAAAAGTACAATTACCATTTCACAGATCCCTTTCATGGAACTATCATGCTGCTATAAGATTGAAGGTTAGAAAAACACCTATATTCACTAGGCAATGTGCAGAGCTAAACAAATAGTTCATAGATGTACAATATCATCTGTGTCAAGAACAATAGTAAATGCACACTCATTCTTCTACTAAGTATACTAATTGCACACATGTAGCTTTAATTTATTTCTTAATTTCTTACTTATTCTGCATATTTTCTTTATTAAAGAACAACTGTATTCCTGAAAGAGATGACTATGATAAAACATCCCTACAAATCAATTTGAAGCAGGTGTTGTCCAATATATTGAGTAAAGCCCATGTGAAGCGATGCTGTGTGGGAAACAGTTCACATGCTTGGAAATAAAACCATCTGCCATCCAGTGTTGATACATGTTAATATTCAACTTTCCTATCTCATAGGTGTGAAAAATGGTGCAAAGAGAAGTTAAGTGATTTCTTTTAAGACATAATGGGCTTCACCATTATCTGATTTCTGTCCAAAGACTTTTGACAGTTTGAGGAAAACCAAGCTAAAAACATTTTAATTTAAAAGTTATTATCATGACTTAAACATCCCTGGCAAACTTTGCATAAAGCAAACACAGATCTAATGTTCTCAGTGATATCGTCTTAAAATCATTTTTTCTTTGATCTTACTATATTGTATTTTATTAATATCCCTTAGAAGCCTTTTTTGTTTTCTAATGGACGAAAGTGAGGTAGACCCAGACGGGAGGGGAGGTAGTGAGGAACTGGGAAGAGTAGAGGGAGAAGCAACCATGATCAGGATACATTATTATGCAAGAAAAATTATTTTCAATAAAGGAAAACAGAATAATTAAAAAGTAAGAATAATGCCTATAATTGTTTAGACAGTTTTATAAACCTGATAATATCAAAAAGTTATGTTCATTCAAAGTAAATAATGGGTTTCTTGAAATATATACACACATCAAAAGAGAGTAGCAATATCATAATAGATGGGATGTACATGTATACATTTATGAGAAAAACTAAAATTTCTAAGACAAGCAAATGAATAGAGCTAGAAAACTAAATGGATAGTAAATTGGAAGAGGGAAAGTAAGCAATGTGAAAATGAGCTGTGAGCTACATAAAGAATGTGAAGGTCAGAGTTCTTGGAACAACACAGAGGAGTTGGCAGATCTGTTAAATACTTTACACCCTTGTTTTGGGAGCAAAAAGTCAAGATCATGGCTACAGTGAGGCCACTGGAGTTGATATTTCAATAAAAATGAAAAATGTAATACTTCTTTTTCTGTTCTGGTAATAGCCACTTATAATTATATCAAAATAAGAAATGATGTGTGCTATTAAAATATTTAGATCGTGTGTTTCCTTTAGGGTAAGAGCTGCCAAGAAAATAGGGAGAAAAGATGTTCCTAAAACATACAGAATTTGGGGTAAAGAATACAAGTTGTATGCGAAAGCTGCAATTAAACTGAGAGGCACAAAACTTCCTAATCCTATGTAATTTTGAGCATTCCAGTATGTGAATGTCTGCTTTTAATTCCACAAATGACTGGTAATGGATAGAAGAATATCTTCACATGTAAAATAAAAACTACTTGCACTCACAACTGAAGTAATATCAACTTATTATATATATCAGTGAATGATGAGGTGTAGCCTTGTTATCACGTGACTTGTATACACCAGCAGTTCTCAACCTGTGAGTCACGACCCCCACAGGCTCACTTATCAGATATCCTGCATATCAGATATTTACATTATGGTTCATAATAGTAGCAAAATTCAAGTTATGAAGCAGCCTTGATATAATATTATGGTTGGGTGTCACCACAACTTTATTAAAGGGTTGCAGCATTAGGAAGTCTGAGAACCACAGGTATAGAAGTTTAAGAAGTAAATCTAGCTAAATCACACAGAACACAGTCTCTAGAATAGATGCATATAAAAATAATACAATGTAGCATATATTACAATATTACCCTAATTCAAATATTACCACATCCCTGGCCCAAAGAGATCTATTTCTTATAATAAACCATGCAGACACAAAGTGTAATTTTAAGAATATAGCTTTTACATGTCCTTATTTATGAGTATGTGCATGTGTCTCTGTGTGAGTGTACATATGTGTGTGTGAACATGTCTGCAGAGTTCAGAAGAGGCTACCAGCACTCTGGGAACTGGAGTGAAGCAAGAACAGAGCCTCCCAACAGGGTGGCTGGGATCCAGATCTCACAGCAAAGTGACAAGTACTCTTATCCTGTGTCATTTCTCCAGTGAATTAATACAGTTTTTTTTTTTAATGTAAAAAAAAAAAACCTGCTCAGTAGAGACAACCCTGTTCCATAAATAAATTCGGAAAGGCATGTCACACCGCCAGCATCACTAATTTGAAGGCATGGGTTCACTCACAAACAAGGTTTCATTACTTCTTACCTCATCTTGAGATTTGACCAGAGTTCTGAATGTTTTTTCTCCACTCTCTCCATCTATCATTTTATTTCGAATCTAAGAGAAAATTCAGGAAACAAATTGACCCACTGAGGATTAGAAAACCATCATTTTCAAGACTTTTCCTCATCGCATGGAAATAGAATGAAAATGGCAAAACAGTTGCACCACTGGCTGAGGTTATTTGGGATTTTTATGTTGCATATTGTAACCATTGTACATGACTGTGTTATAAGAAAGAACGTGCTTACTGAGTTTTTTGCTAATTGGTCAGGACATTTTGAAACACAGCAGCAAAGGAGACACAACCTCCTTATAGGCTTCTGGCATTCTAGGCAGAAGTAGATCCCGAGAAGCAAAAATGTACATATATTCTCAGAATTAACATGTAATGTGAAATATTTCCAATTCTTACCTCACCTAAACAACCAGTTCCTGCCTAGACAGGATTTAGGACTGTCATTTATAGTTTGTTATTGTTGTTTGCTTATTAGCTTTCTGGGCCAGGCCTCACTCTGCAACACTGGGACTCACTTCACAGACCAGGCTGCATTCAAACTTGCCGGGTCCTTGTGCCTCTGTCTCCAGAGCACTGGGATTACAGGACCCCATATCTGGCTTGCCCCTTGTAATTTACTCTTTATTTGTCACATGTAGCAGTTATGAAGAATGACATAATAATAGGCCGGGAATCATAAAGACCTCTTAGGATTTCATATCATAGTGCAGCTCTCTTACAGCTTCTGAACTCTTTAAAAGTAAAGCCAGGCCAAACTTAGAAGACAAATTGTCTAGTCTACTGGAAACTCAGAATGTCTTTCAGCTTGATTTTCATTTTATTTATATATTTCCAGCCGTTGCATTTAGGCTTTAATATCTATTAGTGAGTGAACAAACTTGATGTGACCAGACAAATCTGAAACTGCAGGATTTACTTAAAATAGTTTCAGTTTGAAGGTGACACGTGAGAAGCAAGTAAAATAATAACCAAACTTTACTGTGTACCCAGGCCTTTTGCTCAGCTTTTCTTCATTTATCATGTCACTTGGTCACTACACACAGAGGGTGGGAGATTTTGAGAGACTGAATGCAGCACGGTGACTCAGCGGGACTGAAACCTCAAACCTCAATGTCATCGTCTTCACTGTAATGTTAGGAAACCAAACACGTTAAAGAAATGACCTAAAACATCGAGTACTCACTATGCTACACTCTAGAGTAACTATGAACTTAATAATTTCTATTTCTTCTACTAGATAACCATCTTTACTATTATTAAACACCCTGGCAGGAGAAGTGGCATGTGACTTTGTCACTGAAGTAAAAAAGAAATATGTTAAGTGTCTTCAGGCAAACATGGTCACTGCTTTGCACACATGGCTCGTCATGTGTTTGGGTGGCTGGAATCCTGTCAACTTCTCTCTCACCAGAAGGTCATATCTGTCGCTATGAATTTTATTAAAATTATTGTTATTTTTTGTTCATTTAAAATAACTGTCCCTTTGGAATTACCAAGGCAGTAAAAACACAATTAAAGGCTACACCTAACCTGACATATCCATTCTTTGCCAGTATGAATTATTGGAAGAAGACAGTCCAGGATGTACGCTATTTTAATGACAAAGAACACACCAGTGTGAGTGAGGAGACAGCCTGACGTAAACCATTGCTCCAAAATTATTTGTGGGATGGGAACCCAGGCTCAGGCCATGTGGCTGCCTGGCTTAGTCCTACTGTGCACACTTACCTCCACCTTAATGTCATTCTCTAACTCTGCATCGAGGAAGTCCAATGTGACTGGCTCCTGCGATTTGGGGTTCTACACAGAAGACAATAATTAGGGACATATGACATTAGAAGACATCTCCGTGCACAGAATAGCTTGAAGAGCACTCAGGATGAATTAATTCTGTAAAAGTTACTTACTTTCTTTCAGAGCTAGGCATTGAGTTTTAAGTGCACCAGACAAAATTGCCACCAGTTATTAACTGAAGGCAGCAAGCGGCTAGAAATAGAACCTGTGGATTCTCTAAATACTATTTTACACTCTATCATCCACTGCCTTTTCCTATGGTGTATGAGGAAGTTCACCGTGGAACACAACAGAGTATTTATTGGTCTCTCAGTTAATGCTACTAGCCTGTTAAATTCACCTCATTTTGGTGTGATTTTAATTTCTCAAACATTAAATGAGGCCATTTAGTAGCTAGACCAAATGTACCTCTGTCCTTATAATTGTTGCTATATCATATTATACTTCCAAAATTTAGCAGGAAAAAATTCTATGCAAGTAAAGATTCAATAATAATTGAAAATTTTAGAAACCAGACATTAAAGTATTTATTAAAAAGTGTCATTCAAATATGGCCCAAAATAGATGCTAGTAATCAATGCAACCTATGTTGGTTACTTGTAAGTATCATAAAAATTTTACCATGAACTTATAAAAGACATCCATATTGCTACTGTTTAAAACACCATGCTAAATGGATATGCCTCCTAACATATTATCAGACAAAAATCTGTCCAATTAGAGTATCTTGTTTAGATGAAGAATAACATGGTATAGTACACATAGGATATATTTATTTTATAATCATGCAAAATGCCTTATTTCAGGGAATATTTATATTTTTATAAAATCAGAATTTCAGATCATCATGGTGTTTGATGAATGGGAATTCCTCAAATAACAATTTTCAAAATACTTTCCCTCTTTCTTTTGTAGGGGTGAGGAAGGAGTTAACTGAGTTCAGGGCCTCATGCTTGCTCAGCAAGCACTCCACCAGAGGCACTGTTGAGAAAATATTCACTGCTTAAGAACTCTGTATAGCCAGGTGTTGGAGGCTCACGCCTTTAATCTCATCACTCGGGAGGCAGAGGCAGGAGGATCTCTGTGAGTTCGAGGCCAGCCTGGTCTCTAGAGCAAGTGCCAGGATAGACTCCAGAGCTACACAGAGAAATCCTGTCTCGAAAAACCAAACGGAAAAAAAAGAACTCTGTATAATCAAAGTTTCTATAATACTGGTATTGGACTTTCCAGTATAATACACCAAGAGCAAATGGTCCTTTGAAATGTAGATTTAACATGGAAATAAAAGTCAATATTGAGAATTCTTGTTAAGCCCACAAAACTTGCAACTTCCCTAACCAAAAGACACAACAAATGTTCCCCAAACACTACTGTGTAAACATTCAAATTAAGATAAAAAACCAATGCAAAACAAACTCAAGACCATTAAATGATAAAATGAAAATGGAAGTAGGAATATTTCTCTTACATGCAATGGATAATGCATAGCATTGACCAGCCCCAAACAGCATGCAGGGAGGAGCCATTATCAGGAGGAATTGGCAATATGCAGATCATGTCCCAATCCAACATATAAAGACAGAGAAGAAAATGAAATCATAAAAGAAATTCTCAATGCATCATTTGTGTTTGTAAATGGCAATCCGGCAGAGCATTGGTTTAGAAACATCCATCATTTCTATAAGAACTAGAAAATTGAAAAAAAAAATAGTCTTCTAATAAGAAAACAGCAACATGTCCTGAAGAAATCTATTTAGTCTTGAGGTCTCTGAAAACCCACACAAAGGAAAATTAAGTATCTAGTTTTTTTGCGTCAGCATGAATTTCAGCTAGCGTAACTATTAAGGGTAGTATGTGATGCTAACAGAATTTAAATTTGTAACAATTATGAGTAAGTATTAATATAATACCTCAGAGTTCAAAAATATTCCCCCAGTTAAGAAGTCTTATGTGGTTGCTGGTTTGCCATTTAGGGTTTGCACAGAAAAAAATTAATCATTATTAAAGTTGCATATTTTTAATAATATTTACATGCAATATTTGGGGTTGTGGTAAAAATAAAATTCACCAGAATTCACCTGATAGCAAAAACTATAATTTAAGGTATTACAAAAGTAACATGCAAACAGAAAAACAAAATAGTTTCCTAGTTGAGAAAGACATACACATCATTGTGACTTCTACAGGGACCAAAAAGGGCCTAAGACTTTCAAGATGCAGCAACAGAAAACTCAGATTACCACAGAGTTCTAGCTCTGTGAGAGAACTAAAGCTTTACTAGTCCAAATAATTCCACTTTTGACAGATGGGGACACTTACAGATGGTCTGGGGCCTAAGTTCAATGAGAACTCCCAAGGGTAGGACATGGCATCAATACATATGTTTAATTTCCCAAGGGGAGTGCAGAATGAAAACTGGTGTAACTCCCTGCTTGACAGATGAAAACACCTGCGCGTTGTTCAAAGATTAAGAGTTGAATGCCAATAGAGCCAGATTACAACTCAGTCCCGCTGTCCATACTTAAAGATCACGTGACACCATGCTGACTCTCCAAGAACACTCTACCAAGTGTTTTAAAGGAAATGATAGGCTTACACACAAACCTACAATGATGTCAAATTTTCTCTAACATTTTGGATCTCTCTGAGTAAGTTATAGAAATATCCTTTTGTGCTGAATGTCTTCTGCCTACATATATCTGTAACCAGTGTGTGTCTGAGGAGTATGTGAGCACAGAAACCAGAAGTGGGCAATGGGGCCGCTGGAACTGGAATTACTAATGGCTGTGAGCCACCATGTGGTGCTGGGTATTACAACCCAGCCCTCTGGAAGAGGAGCCAGTGCTCTTAACCACTGTGCCATCTCTCCAGCACCCCAAATCTCACTTTTAGAAATGAAAAACAAAACAAAACAACTGGGCTAAAAATTTTCATTTATGGAAATCACAACATAGCAATCATGACTTGATTTGCACTTAAAATCAACTTCACAAGCAAACCGTTAGGAAAACAGGGGTATGGTATTAATTTCACCAAATTTAATGACAAATTTCTTCAGGAGCCATTTCATTCTGATTATTCTGATTAACATTATTATTAGATCAATTTCCTTAGCCATCTTTCAGCCAGTGCACACCCTTTACTGTAATTAGCACACTTTGCTCACTGAGACAGGAAGCTGGCTTGTGCCTCATGCTCTGGAAGCCTGGTGGCAGGAAAGGCGCCTGCACTCACAAGCTTTGAGACTAGAAGCTTGATCTCAACCTGATTTAGCAAATTCGAAAGCACGGCTGTCTACCTCATTCACGGTTACCTGTACGTTGGGTCTCCTTTTTCTTAAATTAATTGTCGGTATGCCTACACCAATAGGCTGAAGCAATAGAGAAATGATAGTTCATTATCCTACATATTGGCATAGTAAGAATAGTAAGAATTCTACGCTGCAGTCAGTTTTAGTCAGTCTTTCCTTGACAAGAAACAGAACAAATGATGTATTCACAACTCAAAATATTTGTATCATAGAGTCCATGACAACAAAACCAAACAAGACATCAACAAAACCCAAAACTGTTAATGGTAGGAAGAATCATTTTTTTTTTTTTAAATTGTTCATTTTTGTCTTGGATTTTCCTTAAGAATATAAAAATTGGAGAGTGGGAGACATATTTTTTTCTAGATCAATTTTCTTGGCTGAAATAAAAAAAAGATTAAAAAATAAAAATTGTTGAAATGTACATGACACAAATAGAAAAAATAAAATATTGGAAAAGGCCCCTGCAAATTCTCCCATAGCAGTTCTGCTCTGGCAATAGGGTTGTAAAAGCAGATTGGGTCTCTTAGAGGTAACTAGGTTTTGGAGACAACAGCTTACAATGGGATTAGAGTGCTTACACAAGGGAAGCCAAAGAGCCCCCTCTGCCCCTGTACCCTCTCTGCCATTGCGGTTTAGAGGAAAAAGTGTCTGCCAAGGAGGAACATACACTGATCCACTCGTATCTGAGTCCTGCACTCCTTACCACAATAAAAAAGGCCTAAAGTAAGTTTTATTGTTTAGAAGCATACCAGACTTTCCTTTAAATTTTTTTTTGCCATAGCAGTCCGTAATAAATATAATATGGTATTATGAGACCATGAACATTTGAAATTTGACCCTTTGTTATCTGAAAGAATGAAGTCAGTGATATCTATTAATAAGCTAGAGGAGAACTCAACCATAACCCTAGATTTATTTTGAATATTGATTTCTAAAACATGAATCATACACAATATTCTATAAAATCAGCATTTCTCAGATTTATCAAAATAGCAAATCTAATAAATTAAGATGGTTCTTTTTTTTTTAAAGCTTTTAGAGGAAGCTTAAGATGGTTCTTTTAGTGGGAGAAATAACAAACCTATGGTGGAAAACTCAGGATAGCTAATTTACTATTTGTTAAAATGTGGTCATGGAGTGACATATTTTGAAAAAAATGACAATTCCATAGAAAAAAATGCACAAAAGATTTGCGACTGGTTTACTGATATTTTGGGCCACTCCTGAAAAAGCAATCTATAAGTTACAAAATTATACTGATATATTTTGTAATAATTCTATAGTACCAGGAAAAAAATTGTATGACATTGTCCTAGTAAGCTTGCATGTAACATTATTTCACCTTGTTATATAATAATGGACACTAGAGACAGAACATACTTTCTTTCAAACACAGTGATGGATTGCTGATGAAAGAATTAAGGTTAACTTTGACTGTTACAGACCTCTGTTACTACACTGGCCCTTTCTACTTGTCATATGTTATCTGGAGCAATTCTCTCTTAGAGCCTTAAAATCACAAGTGAGATGCATGAAAATGAGATTTGAGAGGTGATAATGACTACCTGAGAAATGAGTAGTAGCTAAGCTAACTTGTAAGAGAAAATGAAGAATGCTTTCAGACTTTCATAGGTTGTCATCAGTGGCCTTGCCCTCTCTCAAGGGAGGCAAAGGGCACTGTTCTTTAGTCTGTAATTGTTTCAAAGAGAATTTCAAGCTACAATCCCATTATTGTTAGTCAGTAATTATTCCAAACATTAGTTAACTATAAAAAAATTATATACATACCTTTGGCTGAAGATTTGGATGCAGTAAGACATAACCATTAGGGTCAATTGCAAAATAGTAGCCATTGGGGCAAAGCTGGAAAACAGTAAAATACCTTATATATTCCTAAGTTACAATTAGAAATTTACATTAAACATTTTAATAGCTATTCAACACAAGTTTTGTAGCACAGAAGAAACAAAACATAGTGTCTTCATATTTTAAAAATAACTTTTTTTCCCTTAACCTCTTGCTAGATCAGTCACATGTACCTTGTTCTCAAGTGCTTTATCAACAAACTATATTGGTACATGGTTTTGAAATAGGAAGTGTAGTCAAAGAACAAATTTCATCTTACTGTAAAACGTGGTGTTAGCCTCTTTATATCTTCCAGAGAAACATCAACGCCCATCACACCAAGAATCAACTGATTCTAAAAGAAGACAGTGAAGTTAGTGCATTTTACAGCAGACACTGTTTCTACACAAATGTATTATTACCCTTTTATTATAGTAAAGAATGACTTCCACATTACACACACACACACACACACACACACACACACACACACACACACACACACACTCACTCACACACTGGGTAATTTTGGTTTCAGTTTACAAGGACTCTCAGCTTTGACTGTTTCCAACAACTTCATCATCCCAATTACTTAACTTAGAATTAATGTTAATGACAAAACCTAAACCAAAAGAGGCATGAAAGTTGTATTAAAGAAATTCTTCATTGTATTGTAAAAAGCAGAAAGCAAGAAACTAATTACATCATTAGGTTATTGTAAAACAGCTATTCTTTGACAATTCAAAAGCAAGGATCCAATAAACATGTTTCTGCACCTGATTCAAAGAGAACCATGGATTTGGCTTTTCTGGTTTCCTCCTGAATGCTTTGAATATCTCAAGTACATTTTAAAAGTGGGCTCATGATACCATTGTCGATTTATCATGTCATTAGTTGTGTCTGACTTTGGGACTTTCTCATCACGTCACAGTTAGATGAAGTGAAGCTTAATCCTGACTCCAGGGTTAGAAAGATTTGACCTTCACTTCCCTTTTCCCTGGTGGCTATCATATGGACAGCTGTTGCCAATGACCTCTAGCCTCATAAGACAATTACATCTTATGTATCTCTTTATAGAACTATCTAATCCACATGCAGCTTCAACGTCATAGTTTATCACTCATTGTGATTAGTTTTATCAATGAACTTTTAACCTTCAAGTTTGTCTTATTTTCAGATTGGCCAGTGACATTGAAGACCGGCAGAGTTCCAGTAATGACAAGTCCCAGCTCCTAAAAATAGATGGAGAGAAGAGGTCAATGAAAGCAATATTTTGAACTTTGTCCTACTGGATTAGCTTTTGAAATTGGAAACTTCACTTTGCAATTACATTGTAAAGAGTCACAAAAACCTAATAACTATTTTTGACTATCTTTAAAGAGAACTTCTAAAAATCAATGAAAAATTCTCAGAAATAATAAATATTTATTAAGGAGTTCTACAATATGTAATAATTATTCTCAATAAAATACAGCCAACTTACACAAATGTAACTGTAATATTCCAATAACTCTGTTCACATCTACATTTCTTCCACAATAATTCATATACTATTGGGTACCTCCATAAGAGGACTATCATTGAAATAGTACTTTAGATTTGCTGAAAGCTACTTTCTGTATCTTCTTTCACAATTTTAAGCCCTAAATCAAAGGCACCATGCTGTATAACAAATGTCTAGCTGTGCTATGGTAGATAGAAGAATGTAGAATATTCTAGTGAGCACTATTCACTAGAATATTCTGTGGTGTTTAAATTTTAAATAGTCCCCAAATGAATATTACTTTTAACAACTAGACTCCAGCATGTATTCTTTGTTCCAGGCACTCTGCACACTTTCCAAGGAATGGAATGAAAAATTAAGGGTCCTGCTTCCTGGAATGTGACACTTATCTTACACATAAGAACTCTTCCTACCTCCCTTTATATAAAAAGAGCCTAACTTCATCTTTCAAATGAAACAATCTCCGTGTCTCTGACCATCTAACTACACATCCCACTTTTTTTTTTTTTAAACATCTTGTTTCAGCTTGTAAAGTAGAACATTTACAATCAGCATTTCCTCCAAATGTTGTTTGTGTTATCACTGAGAACCTTGCCAGCAAGGCAGACACTCTGGTTACTGAACTTCTGGTCATAGGAAATTCAGCAGGGCCTAACTACCGACTCCCAGAATGTGCAGTCCTGTGATGGATTTGAACAATTGAACATCTTGGTTGTGGCTGAAGATGACCATGTGACCTTAAGTAAATAAGTGACGTCAAGAAGGAACACCCGGCAGTCATTTTCTGTAGCTTGAGGTAAGCAAGCTTCTCTTTATCTCTCTTAGCATGCGAGACTGCTGTTAATAGTTCCTACTCTTCCTTCAACTTCCTGTATGTGTTTATTTTGTAAGTACCAAGTGATAAGTCATTCTAACGGGTTGTATTTTGCCCTTCGGGTTCATCATTGCACTTAGAGAAGTAGCAAAGGCATTTCACTGGACTCCAAGTAGGGAAAAGGGCATTACTCAGCATTGACTTTCAGCTTTGCGTTTAGACTGTCTAGTATGTTACTTTGGCAAATGACTAAAAAGTCCTTAAATTCACATTTGGCATATGATATGCTCTTAGGTATTGTTATGTTTTAATAACTTGAGTCATAACGTAAAAACAAACTGAAGCAGGATTTCTTAGCTTATCTCATATTCACAACTTGGGCTGGGTAATTTTGTGCTGTGTGGGAATAGGGGCCAAATGATGTATTTAACACCAACCCAGGGTACTATCTGTTATATGCCAATGGGAGCTCTCTGCACCACTCTGTGCTTGAGAAAAATATCTTCATGCATGTTCAAGTGACATAAATAGGGAAAAATAAATCCTAATCGAAAAGTCGTGCTTACAATGGGCTAGAATGCTTGTAAGATGACAGCTGCATTATGGAGAACCTGACGGGGCTGTGCAATGGTGGAACATGTTGTACATATAGTTAATGATGGACATCCACTTTAAAAAGATGTGTTTCAAAGTGTTTCTTCAAAATACAGCGTACTTGGCTACTATTCACAGGATGTTGAGCATTATTTTCTCGTATTAAAATATCAAAAAGTTACCGAAATCCCCATTTATCCAACATCCTATGTTGGAGAAGCAGGATTTTCAATAGATCAAGAATAGCTTATAACATGACATGTGCAACTTTATTTTAATTCAAATCTAGGATTTTCTAAAATGTTTCTAAGCCCTAGCTGAGAAGCTTGCAAAGGAATGAATTTTAGAAAGGATTCCGTAAAGAGGAAACGGGCAATGTCACCCAGAAAGAAGGAAAGTCAGCTGGGGGCTCTTAGATGGCAGCTTTAGGTTGTGATCATAACCTCTTACCAGTGCATCCAAATACACATTTGTCCACTGGACTTGCTTCGCTTTGTCTCCTGCTAAAACCATTGGTCTTCCAAGAACATCTAGATACTCCTATTTATACAAAGGAAACATTGTAAAACATCAACAAGACAAACAAACCAGAGATGCTATGTTTGAAAATAGCCTTCAAATGGAAAAGTTTAAAATAGAAACTGAATTTGGAACCAAATTATTAATAGTATGTATGTCCTACTTGGGGCATTCTTCACTTTTGATGTAGCTTAAGTCCTTAAATTATATGATTATATACATTGGATCAATAACACCTATTTATAGAATATGTCTTCTCCAGCCTTTCCTTCTAGTACCAATCAGAACATTGTTCCTCAAAGTACAGCCAATGATAAGTGAAATATGTTCATTATGAATGGCTTCATGTTGATCTTTAAGGCTCCGTGATTTATGTGTGAAATTGCACAAATTTGAAATGATAAAGCAACCACATTCTTGCTTTCACATAACAGAGTGTTTGGATGAAATTCAAAACTGCATTTAAACATATCAAAAAATAACTGAAATATGCGCCAAATCCAGACTCCAGACTTAATTCACTGCTGTTTCATCTCAACATTTAATGTGTTCAGCATGCACACTGAATGCTAAACTCTATTGATGTTAAATTTGAACAGCTACTTTGCACATTATTGTTGGTGTTTCAAAATGAGCAGAGATCTTTAAATTGTAATTTATGAACATTTCAAAATGAAAAATGTTTAAATTAAAATTGCAGAGTTCTGCAATATGTTATGTAAATGGGATGCATCTCCCCACCAAATGAATGGTGTTAAAAGGTCATCTTTGTAGCTTTATTTAAAGAAAGAGGTAAATAGTCTCACAGGAATGTGTACAGAAAACTAGGGCTTATCTCACTCACCCAGAATAATTACTGTTTAATGTTCTATATGGCTGAGATTGTCATGTAACTTACAATTGAATAAAAATGTCATGAGATTATTAATAAATTTTACATTATCCATTTTCTATGACCTATTTTAATGCCCAAGATTAAGAAGGTCATAATTATATATGTTTACCTAAGTTTTAGATGTTTAAGAACATAAAACCAATGAATACCACTTTAGCCAGCATTGTAGAAATATAAATTATGTAAATCTTTTTTCATTTTTTAACTATTCTCTTTAGATTGAATTAAACCAGGAAAATATCTTAAACTTTGAAAAACGTATAAGTGTTTTTAGATAACCATACCTGAGTATTGATTCTTATTGCGCCAATGGAGGGAATTTCATAATAATAACCTAAAATTCATATATATATATATTATAAATTATAAATATTATACTTATAGAACAACAAAAATAGCCTCATATTTTTATAGGAGGAAAAGCTAATTTTCCTTCTAACTTGAGCAAGTAAATAAATAATATAAAGATACTTATTAAAATAAAATACAAATGTTAAATTCAGAAAAACATTGATTAGTGAATGTTGGCAATCACTTTCGAGAATTTATGATAAATTTTAATATATTTCTTAGGTAATATAAAATAACTGTTTTCCTCTACAAAGCAGTAAGGAAACTAGAGCCATTAAACTCTTTTGCACTAGATAAACTATTAAAAGTACAGATCGATTCATAATTATTATATGCACATTTTCCTAAACATAGTTTTGGGATGTATACAAGTTTTCTTTTCTGCTATAACAGTTTATCCTTCAAAAGATTTTCTTTTTTCTGAGTACAAAGAAAATAGCTCACTGCATGAAATTTGAATACTGAGGAAAAGTATGAGATTGTTTTCAAAAACAGTAATCCAGTCAATTAGAGAAAAAATATGCACAAATCTGATCTACATCATTAAGTATCATGCATCCCTTCATCGGCTCACAGTATTAGGATCAGACGTTTGAGTATGTTCTAACACAGTACTAATCTCAGAGTTTGTTGTTTGTGGTTTCTTTAGAAAGCAAGCTCAGAATCTACTTTTTATACCATACCTTTTAAAGTTACTACTTAATTTTAAGTGCAAGGGAAGACCTAACAATAATTACCAAAGTATTTTATCCTCTAATAAAACATGCTCAAGAGAACTGTCTATTACCTTTATTTTCACAAGCCATCCACTGAATAGGCCCTCTGTCATAATTATGCTGACCAACAGAAAACGTAAACACACGGACCTAAGGAAATTGAAAATTCAGTCAACTTAAATTTAACTGAGCAGCAAAACAAAGCTGCGGAAGCAGAAACAAATCAAAGCACATTTAGGCTGCAAAATGAATAAAGAGAGTCAAACACCGAGGCACTAGAGGGAAACCATACAGCCTACCTGGAACAGACATGAACCACAGTGGGATCAGCACCATGTGTCCTGCATCAAGTCTCCAAGCTCGATACCTGGACAGTGACTGTGGTCTCCTTTGTCAAAAGTACTTCCTGCGGGAGTACTTCAACCCCCCTCCTGCCTGGTTAAACATCTCACCTACCTGTCCAATCACAGTAAAGACATGTCCATATCTCATAGGCAATTGGTGATGCAAATGGATTCAAAAGCCCATTACTCCTGTAGTTACTGCAGGCAAGTATGTTTAGTGCTGGTTTTTCTACTTTCAAACCGTGGCAATATTTAAGATTGTGGTTTAGTTATCACTTATTTACTGGAAAAGATAGCTGACCATGGTAAATACTTAACCTGTATTGTTATTTGTTTTTTTTTTTTTTTCATTCATTCATATGAAGCAGCCATTGTCCTGGGGGCGGGGGGGGGGGGGGGGGCTAACAGGCACTTATGTGCTCATGGTTGCGAAGGACACAGGTTAGCATCAAGTGTCTTTTTCGGCTCTCCACCTTAGTTTTTGGGATGGGGTGGTCTCTCCCTGAACCTGAGGCTCACTGTTGGCTAGACTGGCTGTCCACCAAGCTCCAGTAAGCTCATTCATTTCTGGATCCCCAGTGCTGGGATTACATGTACCTGCCATGCTCCACTTTTTAAGTGGGTACTAGGGATCCAAGTTCAGATCACCTCGCTTGAGCTTGAGTCTCTACCAAACCTGAGCTTTCTCCCCAGCTCTGACTGTTTCCTTTGTTCTGTTTGGCACATGAATTTTGAGCACAAATCTCAAAAAAAAAAAAAAAAAAAAAAAAAAAAAAAAAAAAAAAACATTTCTTTCTTCCTTTGTGTCTAGGTCACAAATACTGTAACAGTCTGTGCATCAACTGAATACTTGGGGCAGCGCTACTTCACTTGTAAGGGTTTATCTGAGCCACACTTTGAGTCATCCAGGTTGGCTTCAGCTAGTAATGTATGACGTCATTTGGTAGACACATCTGTTTGCTGCGTTCATCTGGAGACAGGATCATGCTATATTCCTTGTTGCTGCCTCAAATTTCAAGTTTTTACACTTATACCCAGCTGACATCTGAACTTTAGTCACTTAAAAATTATAAGAGAGTAGGGTCATGGCTGATAAGAGGTTTGGGCCTTCTTCTCTTGCCTGCTCTCCCTTTTTGGACACACACACACACACACACACACACACACACACACACACACACACACACACACACACACAGAGAGAGAGAGAGAGAAAGAGAGAGAGAGAGAGAGAGAGAGAGAGAGAGAGAGAGAGAGTGCTTCACTTCACATTTTCAGTTGAGTCATTTAGAAGGCTGTCCTTATATTTCAGAATGTTACTGCTCACAGAGTTGAGTTAATCCTAACACAAATATTTTTATAAGATTGACCACCCGGAGTAATAATGCAGTTTCACTGGTGTGCCCTAAGGAATCTGGTCTTGGGCATGTCCTTCACACTGTGAGAAGGCATGACTCACAGATTCAATTAGAGCACAGCTGTATCTAGTTCTTCCTGTTACCACAACACAATTACGGTAAAATACTTTCCAGAAGATACTGCACAGTGCAAAGAAGTAAGGAATTAGGCCGAGTGAATTATATTTCTAATAACATGGAGACTACGCTTAGACCCACACTGTGTGATTATTTTGACTGATGTTATCCTTCAAGCAGTGCCAATAAACATTTAACTTTAAAAAAAGAAAACAGCAGAATGTCTTAGTGCCTTATTTGCTTGACTAGAGTGAGTTCACCTGACTTCCACGGGTGCCTGTGTGGAGCCTGCAACTCAGGATGAAGGGGAGGAGCACGATCTGTCACAGTTGATCATTTTTAAGTGTTCTAAGCTTTTTTTTGCCTCACCATTCCTTGTTCCACCCGGTGCTTGCTGATTCAAATCTAAGTTGCATTAATAGGTTAAGTCATGTGCATGTTATAAATGTTAAGTTTCTGCACTATTTCTGCCTTGCTGCAGACATGTATGATAGTGCTATTTTTCAAGGTTATTTCCTACAGTCGTTACTAAAATGTTGAGAATCACAAATTCAACTTTATATAATTTATGAGAATAGATAATTCTGACCTATCATCACACCGTTTATAAAATCTATTACACCCAAGATGCTTATTTTGTATTTAGTTTTATGGAGATAGCACACAATATACATTTACCAACGGTATATCAAAAGCCACCTCATAATTTCTGAAATTGAATACTTGATTGAGAAAAACTTTGTCCTCAAAACTTACCATCTTACACATTCTTCACAATGAAAAAATGGATATAAAACTTATTGCATGGCAAGGTAAAACTATTTTCCATACGCTACTGTTCAAATCAAGTATCCTTGTTGCATTTGTCTTTCCTTAATACATTTTTGCTTAATTATGTATGGAGGATTCTGACTTTATGAACGTTAGTATCCTCACGTTGCAGCCTATGAATAACCGCAACGGTGGTAGGCTCAGCACTGGCGGGACTTTTGGGCTTCCCTTTCTACACTGCGTTACTGCCACCTAGTGGAGTCGTCTGTGAACTAACCCCCAAAGGAGGAGTCATCCGGCCAAACTCAGAGTGCACTGCTACTCCCACTTAGGTTTTCCAGTGTCTTTTCCTCTTTTCTTTTTTCTCTTTTCTTTTTCTTTTCTTTTCTTTTCTTTTCTTTTCTTTTCGAGATTTTAATAATTACATTTCTCACCTTCTTTTCCTCCTTCCAAACTATCCCATAGTCCTCTCTCTGCTCTCCTTTAAATTCATGACTCCTTTTCATTGTTATTGCATCCATATGTATTTGTGTGTGTGTGTATATATATAGAAACATACATACATACATACATACATACATACATACATACATACATGTATTCATTCCTAAGTCCTATGTATAACCTGCTCAACTAGTATAGCATTACTTGTTTGAATGTTTTCAGTATTACCGGCATCCTTAAACCTAAGATTGAAAAATGAAGTGATCACCTGAAAGATGTACAATGTAAACTTCAAGGCAAATTACGTTCACAAAGACCTGTACACATCTCAGTTATTATTAGTGTGGATTGCATAAAATTATCCAGAAACAAACACGGATAAATAGAGACAACCCAAATTTCTACCTACAGAGTTGGAGGAGCTAAACCTTCAGCTGAACATGTAGGCAAATTCATCACATTATACTGGGTCTATGTTGTATCATCTCAGCTTTTGTGGAGGGTAAATTCTTGACTCATACCAGGAGAGTATTTATAATCATATGGTCAATTCATGTAATTAACAGATGCACAGCAGAAATTTTCAAAGTGAAATGTACTTAGAAAATCAGTTAAATATTCCTCCACCAGTGTTACTAAAATCTTCTTCATGGGGCCACATTTTAAACAGAAACAATCATAAACATCTTCACAAGAATGAGAGCCCAAAAATGATATGAGAAGATAGCATAGAATAAACTCAATTTAAACAGAAGTTCCAAGTCTGTACAATTGAACGTCTCCAATAGTGTTTTCCATATGTGAAGACTGGTTAAATTAGGAAAGAAGGAGGGGTCAAGTGAGGCTCTCTGCTCTCCAGGGAGACTGGAGACCAGTTTTCTGTCACAATTCATATATGTTAGTTTAGTGTAATGTAATTTTGTAATTGCCCCCTCCCTTTTTTTTTTTTTTTGTTTTTCGAGACAGGGTTTTTCTGTGTAGCTTTGGCGCCTATCCTAACATTCCTTCTGTAGACCAGGGTGGCCTTGAACTCACAGAGATCCACCTGCCTCTGCCTCTGGTGTGCTGGGATAAAAGGCGTGCACCACAAATGCCCTGCTAATTTGGGCCCCTTTTTATCATGGCAAATTTATATCAGTCTTATTTTTCATTGCACAGAAATATTCTGTCTACTTTAATAAAAATGTCAAGCAAACATAAGAATATTTTAATTTGTTTGCATCATTCTTACTTTGACACAAGTGACAAGCCAAGTCGTATATCAGTGTGAGGAACAGATTTAATGAAATTAAACAGATTCAAACTGGGCTTTACTATTTGTAAATTTACATGTTTTCTCTGCAGTTGTTTAGAGATCTCTTTCTTTGGGCAGGTAGGATGGTTTAGCAGGTGAAGGTGTGTGCACTCTGCAGCAACCACCGTGAGGAATGGAACCCCTGGAACTCATGGAAAGGTGAAGAAGAGAGATAACTCTGCAAACTCGCCCTCTGCCCTTCACACATATGCTATACTCCATGACTCACATGTCGGCCCATCATATATGCATACATACAATAAAAAATAAATACAATTTAAATTTTGATTTTTCTTTGAACATATTATTATAATTCCAATAACTCAGTTAATTACAAACCTAAGCTACTTGATTGAAGAAAGTACCAAATTTCATTGTTTAAATATAATGACAACCCTAATGGTGTAGTGATTGCCTGACATGTGTGAGTACTCTGAAAAATAGAAAAATGTATAATAAAGTACTGATTTCTACCTACCATACAGTTCTTCTGCTAAATCATTTTGTAAAATTTTCTGTCTTGTTTATTGAAATCTACAATGAATTTCTTCAATTAAGAGTTTTCCAAACCCACAGTGTTAGCTTTTTAAGGTCATAAGAATTTTTGCCCAGCACAAACCAGTTACTGGAAACTGTCACCTCAACAATTATCAGTTACCCAGAGTTCAAGTTTAATTTACAATAGGCAAGTTTCCAAAGAATAATAGAGATGAGTCTATGAAGAAGGGAAGCCAGTAAAACTAAGATTAAAAACTACAGCTATTGAAACATGTAAGAAAAATGATATCCAAGATAGATCTTATTCATCTACTCTGGGAATTT